GACCGTTCATTCCTTTAGCAATTGATTGATGCGTCGAGAAATGGACAGACCGTTCATTCCTTTAGCAATTGATTGATGCGTCGAGATATGATATAGCATGACACGACATGACAATCACGTCTCGTCACGCTGCGTAGTCGTCGCCGTAGCCGCTACCCTCGTAGTCTCCTATGCTCGTGCCTATGCTCGTGCCGATGCCCATGCCCACGTCGGCGGTACTCTCACTCGACATCCTGCGATGGCCTCGGGACTGCCACTGTTGCTGCCACTGCCACTGCCGTTGCCGGGTTGACAGCTCGATGTCGAGCTGGTCTGTCATTTCGGTCGTTAATCCTAGACTCTGGCTCTGAGTCTGAGTCTGACCCTGGCCCTGACCCTGACTCTGACTTGCACCAGCCGAGTGTGATCGCTGAGACGGCGAGGGTGCTAGAAGAGCTGTTGTGGGACCCTCGTCCATGGTGGTTGTCGTTGTAGAGCTCTGTGCTCGGACATGGCCTAGGCGGTACTGCCTGGCATCTGCATCTCGATCTCGATCTCGATCTCGATCGCGGGTTGAGAAAGACATCCTCTTGACTCCGAGGACTTCAAACCCGGCATTATTATTCTTCTCCCTTTCCCTTCCGTGGCCCGCGGTGGTGGACGATGAGAAGAGGGCCGAGTTGCGGATGAGGTCCGGGGTCAGCGACTGTCGGGCCCATTGGAACATGTTCAACCAGGGCAGCCAGGCGAGGAGGATGCGGTGCGAGAGGGAACGACGATTCTGTCTCGGCCGTCCGTGCGTGTCTGTCGTGCGATGCAGTGGATATAGTATCGTCGGCGGGCGGTTTAACGTTGCTGACACGCCTGCCGTCTGCGCGGGATCGTCGTTCTGCAAAGCTGAAGAATATGCCCCGTGTGTAAGACCCAGACCATTCGTGTCCTTATGCTCCGTGGGGGAAGCTAGGTCGTACACGTCAGGTGCATCTTCCTCCTGCTTCTTCTTCAACCACGGGACGTGTTGACAGGCTAGCTCGTAGAGGACTCTGAAGAAACTGATCAACCCGATCAGAGCGGGGATGACCTGTCCAGCTCCACGCGTTCCTCCAGCGCCGAGGACGTTCTGAATGTGGTTCAGGTTGAGCGTGACTTCGATGCTGGCAATGGCAAAGACGAGCCAGAAGAGATTGAAGCAGGAGAGGAAAATGTACCATACGGTCAGTCTGATGGGAGTATAATCAGCCGAAGCCCAACGGGAGTAGAATTAGAAACTCACTCTCTCCTGTTCAATGCGACGTCTCTGTCCGGACGCACAACCAATTCCCAATAGATCTCTTTCCCTCTCAACTTCCTGACAGTGGCAACCATTCCCGCGACGATAGCCGTGATCGCCATGGCACCATAGTAGACTGCCGCGCCGACCGCCGTGACGAGGTTGATGCTTCTCGTCACCTTGAAGTTGACCTTCAGAGGGACGAAGAAGAACGTCTCAAGCCCGCCGCAATCTTTTCGACTGTCACACGTAGCCAGGGTGTCGACTCCCCGTATCCAGAACCAAACACCGTATGCCGTGATCGCGGACATCAAGACGAGCCGGAAGTGCGTGCCAAAGCCACCAAAGTGGCGACGGCCACCGGGGCCTTCGGTCTTGTAGTACACTGACATGGGAAATAAGCGTTCACCGCCGAGCTCAAGTAATTAACCTGCGACGCTTACTCGTTCTGTAACCCCATAAGCTCATGACGCTAAACAAGAAGCCTGTGCATAGCTGGTGAATGAGCAAGACGTCCACCACGCGAATCGAAGTCCCCTGCAGGGAGTAGGTGAAGACGGTCGAGAAGAGTGCGAGGAGGAAGATCGAGTTTGTGTCCAAGCTGCCGATGATTTCCTCTGGGAGGAAGTTGTTTGCCAGCCAAGAGGTGATCCATTGAAAATCTATAGGGCAAAAGCCGCAGCGTCAGCATATTTCTGTAGACGTCGGTATCGACAAAGGACGCTGAAGCACGGGCAGCCAACCTACAGATACCGACTCGGACTCCCATCCCGTAGAAATCACCATTGCCATGCAGCGGACATCCTTCCTCCGCGGGACCGACGCCTTGACATACCGATTCTGCGGGTTCGTTGTCGCTGCCTTGAGCATAGCCCAGGTTGCTGAAGATGAGGAAGCTGACGAGCAACAGGAGCAGAGAGTGAGCAAATCTTCCCATCTTATCGACGCGAGGGCTGTCGCGAGCCGCGTCGCAAGGCAGGGGTGAGGTGAGGTCAGGCTGCGCAACCTGTCACAGCAAGAGAATCTCGCAAAGTGTCGCCGCACTTATAGGAAACCGGGTGAGAGGAGCAGGCAATGATAGAGACCGCCGCGGTCATATGGCAATACATCATAGAGACACCGAAGATTCGATCTGAAGGAGGCATCGGGGACAGTGTACGCAGCGATGGCCTCGTCAGGCTGGTGGTGGTCATCATCCTCTCCTACCTGTTGCCACTCGTTTGTGATGCTCGTCCTCTTCTGCGTGTTCTGCGCCCTGCATGAGACGTGGGTGAAGTGCGCGGAGGCGAAGCAATAGTGAGGTGTGTAAGATGGGACAGGTCGCACAGAAAGGCGTTGTCATCCGCCTGTCGAAGGCCAAGGGATATATCGAGGGTGTTCAGACGGGACCGAAGACGAAGGGTCAGACTGCTCGTATTCAGCCAGCCTCGACACCATAATCAGGCCGCGATCTCAGCTCATCAGGGAGCCCCGCACCTCAGACATGGGCCGGCCACATTGTCCTGTCCTCTTAGGCGTCAAATGACCAAGGTGGTTCAGCCGTTTGCAGGGTGCGAATCTCGAATGGGCAGGGTCACGCTCGCTGTCAATGGCTGGCATAGGTGCGTCGGTAGGCGTTCGCAGGCAGGCTAATGAGAGACAGCATCTTTTCCCGACGGTCGAGGCAGAGGCTCAGCCTCCATAGACGATGGAGGGGAGTCACGAAGAATGCTGGTGCTGAAAGCATATGTTCCTAGGGACCTTCAAGCCACGATCAGAGTGACACACACGTCGAGTGAGGTTGAAGGAGCTGGCTGGCGGCATAAGGCATCAACTGGACTGCTTTTGCCCGGGTCTACGATATGTACGAATCCTTTCCACAGCGGCCGCCGTCGCTATTGTCGGCGTCCTGTAAAGGATTATCATGCTTAGATGGCGTCCTCAATCAAGCACCTCATAGTGACTGCCTTTCATGTCTGATTGTCAGACGCTGTGATGTGTGCACTGAGTCCACAGTACTTCCGCGACCACGGCTCCAGTCGCGTCTCAAAGGTAACAATGGCTGAAATCCATGCCGAGCAGAACCCCCATACAGTGCTGGAGGGCTGGGACTTCCCATGTGCGCATTTTTTACGCTTTCCTGTTCATAAGAACCAGTTCCCGGCTCTGGCCCTTCGTGACGGGCGCCCTTCCAGCACCCCCCCAAAAGGACCTAAGCACCCAACGATGTGCTATTATCCGTGCTCAGTCGATGATAAAACGGGCCTTTTTCCGTAACGCCTGGAGCTCTCGACGGTCCTGCCACTCCATGTCTGGCCAACCACGCCCTGACTAAGTGGCGGGATTGAATCTCAACTCGTTGTCTGCTGGGTCGGCTTGCAGCTCCACGACGGGCGGATCGTCGTCATCCTCGTCAGCCATACTGATGTCCACAGGCATGGACATACCACGCCCAGAACCGATGGCAGCCGGCACCTCATCGGGAGGTGGTGCACTCTCTCTTGCGCCGCGACTATGCATGAAGTCTTCGTGATGCATGATGGGCCCCATTTGGCTGCTGTATAGAGGGTTGTCAATGTCATCGGGGTTGTGATGAATTGACCCTTCGTCGCCGCCCTCAGAATCAAAATTGCTATGTGGCGGACTGGCTTCACCGCCTTCCACGCGCGTGCTGTCGTTTGAACTGCGGTTGTCTGCATACCGGTCTCCGTCCTCCGAGTTGGCTGGTTGTTTGGGAGGCAAGCCCTGAAAGCTCCATGGCTGGGTCACCTGCCACTGGAAACCACCCGAGGTGACATCGGCGACACCTTCATCAATGCCGTCATCAGCGATGGCGGAATCGGAGTAATCTGGCAGCATGTCATCGCCACCACTACTGGGTGCCGGTCCCAGCATCAAGCTCGGTGGACTTTCGGTTCCGGCTAACAGACCTCGAGCCTGTTGATTTCCTGCGAGTGCTGAGCCAGCCGGTCCCGCTCCCACGCGGTGACCGTGACCGACTTGTAAAGCGCTCGACAACCCATTGTGGGAGGAGTCGCCGAGACGCCGACCTTCCCCCGTCACAGGAGAAGATTCACGAGAGTCTTGGGGCATTTCAGAGTCGGCTGCGCCATAGTTGTTGCTGGCCTCTTGAAGCGCTTCCTGGAGTTTGGGCCCACCTAAAGGGTGGTCTGGGTCCTCCCGTCGGCGATAGAATAACAGGTATGCGGCGCTTGTGACAACACTTCTGGCGTCGGTCTTTGATGAGACGTGAGAGTCTATCATGGTCAACCGGTGCCCATCAACACGTTAGCGGAGTGCTTACCATTATATTCGTACCAGCCACCGTTATCAGCGTTCTTCGCAAATGCAGTGTAGTGACCCCCTCCAAGACCTCCATAGTGGTTGTCGACAGCGATAAGGTCATAGATTAAGCTCTTGCCGTCCTGCTGATCGCGCACCATACCTGACAGATCCAGACCGTCGGTGGGATAATCGACTCTGACCTCAAGCTTGTCACGGAAATTTCTGTTCGCGCTGAATCGCTTGAGGTGCATAACCAGAATGTCAGGCGATTTCCACAACTCGAACATCTTATTAGCTCGGCGATGCTCCTTGCAACGAGGACAGCGCCATGCATTCTGCTCTGACAATGTTTCCGACTTGCCAAACTCATTCAGGCAGTCTTCGAGCGAAATGCCATTCTTCTTGCGATTGTTGCGCAACTGTCGCTTTGCCAGAACCTCCTCATCGGGGAGCAGCTCCACCCCTTTCCAGGTCGGTGTGCCACGCATGCCGTCACTGTCCTCTTCACTTCCGCCAAACAGTGCATCGTACCCTTCTTGGGTCCAGTCCAGGATGATGGCCTCGCCAGGGCGTATCAGAGCCCCTCCAGCACCTTTCGGCACTGGCTGCGGCTGAGGAGGTGGTGCAGGTGAGCGACGCTTCTCACGTTTGTTGAATTTGCCCCTATGCTTGCTATTTTTTGCTCTGCGCTGGGCTCGCTTGCTACGAGGCGGTAGGATCTCTTGAGGCTCTGAGAAGTCATTTTCAGGTTCATCGAGAACGGGTAGAACCGGACTGGCATCCGACCCTGAGTCGTTACTTTCAATAGGCGTGTCATCGTCATTTTCGTTATCGGCCAGATCATCCTCACTCTCTGCAGAGGCAGTATCCTCATCGTAAGCGTTTACAGCGCTGTTCGGTTGGTTTGGACGATGCGAACCAGATTTGGCTATCCGCTTCTTGATGGACTCATATTCTCCACTTTCTGAAATTTGGTTCCAGCCTGTAGGAATACCCTCTCCAGTGGAGGCGACCTGAACGTCGAAGAGGTGCTTGAAATGGGCAGGAATGGTAGCACCGGGCTGGAGGAGCTTTTGCAGACCAGTCTCGGTGGATCCAGGGCTCGCTTCTGGAGCTTGACTGGCATCTCTCATGGACACATCTACCAGACCGTCTTCGCCTTGAACAGAAGTTGCCGTAGGAAGTCCTGAGCCCGAACTTGACAAATCGTCCGTTGTGATCATAGCATCGGAGTCTTCGGGTGTAGCCACTCCATCCTCGGACGCATCAAAATCTTCGTCGAAAATTCTCTTGGTTGTCATCCCGGCAACATTTCCCAAGATCTTCTTCATGACGCCATCGTAAGTAGCCCTATCTGCGCGGGTAAGAACTAGGTATGTCGGCTGACCGAAGAAGGGCTTCGACCCGACTCGCGCACCTGGAGCCCTCACAAGTCGGTGATAGAGAGGCACAAGGAGACGATCCGCGCCTGGACTGTCCTCCTCAACCAGTTCGTCCTCATCCTTGGACAAGTACACCTGGTACTTTTTGACCTTGTCGGGGTTATAGTTGGTCGGTACGGATTCCAACTCATAGACACAAATAATGTCGTTGGTTTGGATGCTCGACTCCGAGATTCCCGAGTTGTTGTCGAAGATCTTGTAGATCTTGTTCTTGTAAGATTCCGCAACTACGAGCCGATTGACTTCAGCATGTGTCCGCGACGCGACAAATTCCTTTAGCTGTCTGAAGTTGGAATGCTTGTCGATGTCGACATCGATCCGTATCGGCTTCTTGTGAAGTGGGAAGTACAGGATCTCCTTCGACCAGTTATTCTCGATCGGTAGGTGCAGAGTAAGGTTGAGAAAAGGATCAAATGTAATGCTGACTTTGTCGCAGACGGGACATGTGACCGTTGACTTGTACATGCCAGTGAAAAGATCCGTGATCACCGAGTCATTCCTCGCCTCGTGCTCATACCAATTCTTGTCGGCAAACGCTTGCAGAGCGGCGGTGTCGTGGACCATTTCGTCCGTGGAATCAGTCTTCTCAAAGTAGGGTTTCTTCTTCTTGCGATTCAGATCTTCTTGGAGAGCATCAAGAAGGAAGAGGAGGAACTCCTGAGAGTCTTGCTGCTGGTAACCGCTGAAATTGGAATTGTGCCTTCCTACCGTGGCCTTGAACTTGGCTGGGCTGGTCGAGGAGGCATTCTCCTCGTAGATCTGGTGCATCAGATTTGCGTATGCCCTCGCGACTTCGCCATGATATCCTAGGGGGTTGTCCACATTAAGGTCTTTCTTCCAGAGGTCGGCCAAGAGATAGTTAGTCAGCTCGGGGACGCTACGAAGGCACTGCAGAGCTGAGTTCATGTAGCAAGTGTTTCCCAGGTTCGTCAATCCAGTGATTCCCTTCGGTCTACCATTTGCCTTCTGACGTCCACGAGTCATCATGCCAGGAGCTGGACTAGATCTGCCGCTTGGAGTGAGGCTCTTGCCCGTAGCCTTGAGGCTTTTGCTTAAGCTTAGTTTGGTGCTCTCGCTCGGCCACTCTTCTTTTCCAGACTTCTGTTCCTCCAAGACAATCACTTCTTCATTCCTGCCCAAGCCGACCACTTGTAAAGTCAACGACTTGCCGTTGTAGTTGGGGTTTGCAGTATTGTCCTTGATGTCGGTGAGGAGCTCACGATGCTCGCCAAGCTGGAGGTGTGCAAAGGTGTTAACGTCGAGGAGCATCCGGTCTCCGGCGGTGGCCACAATCTCAACGCCAGGCGCCGGAGAAGCACTTCTCGATGCTGCTGGAGTAAGAATGCCAGAAGAGGAGGAGTTCTTTAAGCCACCGAGGATCCTCCACACCCTAACTTTGGTGTTCATGTCAATATTTAACAGCTGCTTGCCCTTCTTGAGCCAGTCATTTGCCAGCATCTTCTTGCTAGCGACCATTCGTTGAGGCGGGATGTCCTTCTCACGCTGCGTCTGTGTAGTGTGCTCACTAGGCACCTTCAGAAACGAGAAGATAGGCGGGGTCAACTCCCAGGTGACATTAGGCATCGCCGCATCTGAGGCACTCCAGTCATGGGCGTATCGCGTGATGACCGGAGAGTTTTTCTGGAGGCCATACCACGATATTATCAGTGCCCAGGCCTCTTGAGGAAAAACACGGTAGTCTTCATCCATAGCCAAGCCTGGTCGTAGCGGGACATAGTTTTCCCCAGCCTCGTCGACCAATTTTGCGTCAGCGTCAATCACCATGGCAATGTCCGAGTTGTCGACAGTGCCGATCTCGCCCTCGGTCGCGGATTTATCCTTCACATCAACAGGGACAGAACCCCGTGCCTGGACTTTCTGAAACCATTTTGCCGAGATGAGGTAGCCCTTCTGTCCTTCTTGTAGCTCTTTCTGCAGAAGCTCAGTGACTTTGGCGATCTGTTCGTCTATAGGCGGTATGGAGGCCGCGGTGGGAGGCACATCTGAACTCAGCGAAGTAGCGGCAGTAGACCGGTTGGAAGGACTGGGAACGAGCGAGTCGGAGGTGGAACTGCCGCTGTTGTCTGAGATTGAAGCAGCCGCGCCTTGCTGGACGGCACGGGCATCACTGGTGTACACCAGGTCACTCGCGGCTAGATTGGGCATCTGGCGGTGTCGTTCACCCGTGTCTTGCTGCTTTGCCTTCCTGTCTTGAATGCCCGTGCCCGTGCCTGTGGTCGTGGGCGAGTCTGGTTTGATGGGCGTGACGCCAGGCCCAGCATCCGCGGGAGGCTGACCATCGCCCATTTCGACGTCACTGTTGTAGGACTCCCTGTCCTGGGCTCCCATATCAGACGCCGGTCTCTTGACAGCAGGAGATGCGGACCGCAGCCTGCCTAGCTCATCTTTTTCCGAGAGGTGTTGATTTGGAGTTTTGTTGTTTTGGGAGGAAGCGGGCATGTCCCGGGCGGGAGTGCTCGGAGGACGAGTTAATGATGAGGTCCAGGGCCGTATGTCACGCCGGGACCATGAGTTAGAGGAGAGAGAGGTACGGGGCACAGACCGAAGAAATGTCAGTGTACGTGCTGAGGGTCTGAAAATGATGCGGGCGGCGGAGGCTGAGGGCCAAAAGATGCGCCGCTGCGAGGCCCAAAATGCTCATTCGCGGGTCACTCGGTGCCTGCGCTAAACAGCCGCGCTTTCCACAGCGAAAGTGGCTTCCCCTCTCCCAGGTGCTTCCCACGGTTTGCGCAACTTATGTAAGATGATTCACTGAGCTTTGACGTTCACAGCGCCAGTGCTATAGGTGGGATGTGCCTGCAAGATGGACATCACTCTGGGCTGACTTGGCCTCGACCATGACGACGGCGGGCGGCAAGCACACATTTAGGTAGAGCTAACCTCGATCATCGAACCTTCTTTGAGATTCAACAATCTAAGCCGCAGTTGACGCCTGTTTGTCTGCCTGATAGACGGCCGCCAACTATGCAAACAGGCCGGTCACCAGCGGCGAAGGGCTTCCCAACGCCTCGCACCTCACCAACAACGAACATTACGGTCACGGCGTGCAGGGGATCCTCCTGAGCTGCTCATCTCGCCACAATTTTATCCACCTCGTCTCTGGCTTCAGACCATGTCTCCAAGTTTTTCCTTGCCCATTCGATGTGACATCGCGCATAGGAGATCTGTTGGGACGGTTAGCCAGCCTTGCAGAGTCATAAACGCCGCGACCACTCACCATGTATCTCTGAATATCTTCCTCCTTGTCCTTCTGGAACCGCTTCAGATCTCGCATGACTCCCTGAGTTGCATCGTGGACATCCTTCTCCGACACTTCCAAGGCCTGCTCGAGTTGAGTCAAGCTCTCCCGTGTCTTCCCAATCTGGTCCCGCCGGGTCCTTTCCGGGTCGACGTCCACAAACCCGTTCACGGCATGCCGGAAGCTGCCAAATATCTTGTTCGTCACGAAGTTCCCACTAGGACTCTTCTTGTGTGACGGAGGCGAAGTCGAGCCTGGATGTGGCTGCCCCTGGGCTGCTGAAGGGGGAGACGACGGGGCCTCGCCGTGGGTGGGAGGGAAGTCGGAGTCAACAGACTCGGTTTCATCGTGTCCATCCCTGCGTGGCTCGGGTAGGCTCCGTGCAGATGCGCTGGATGTCGACCGTCGCGGTGGGCTCGAGATAGTCGTACTGCCAGAGAGATACGCGTCGATCCGTTTGGATTCGGCTTCGCTTCTCTCCAGCTGGTCCAGAAGGTGTCGCTTCTTCTCCAAGTCTTCCCTCGTCATCTCTTGCTGCACTCGCTTGAGGACTCTGTACTTCAGCACGTTCCGTACCACGCCTGCGAATTGTGCACTTTCCCTCATCGGCTCGGCAAACGTAGCTCCAAGGCTCAACGAGAGCTCTTCTGTTGAGATATAAGTGTTATCAACAGCCTGGCCGACTCGCTCGATTGCCGCCGCCACGGTTGGCGACTGCTCCGAGAGTGAGAAGCCGTTATACCGTGCGCCCAGCTCCGCCAGATCCGCTGCGAGCTTTGTCAAGTGCTCGATCGTTCGACGATTCACCTTCTCGATGCTTCCCTGCAGGAGGATCTCCAGCTCCCGCGTGTTCTGCTCGAAATTGATAAAGTATGGGTCCAGATCTGTCTCACTCAGCCTTGCTGATTCTGGAGGGAACCGTCCAAATACTTGTGGGCCCGGTGTAGTATGTGATGCCACCGAAGGAAAGGTCTGTTCTGGTGGCGATATGGGCGTACCACTTGCTGAGTATGAACCACCTGACCTCAGTTTGGCGGAAGAAGAGGGAATCGGCAGCCAGTTGTGAGCCGCAGTCGGGTTGGCAGGATCCAGTGGAGGTGCTTTCAGGTTGTTCTTTGGTACGGATGAGACGGGGTGGGCATGAATGACCTCGTTCTGCAGCACCATGTCAGTCTAGTCACTCACGTCCACCGCGAGTGGCCTACCCAGCTGGAGTTGGGGTCCAGAAACCGCCACCACACGCCGTCCTCAACAACCTCCTTCATTCTCCGACACCGATTGAGAAAGACCGCAAGCATCCGCTTCCGCTGGTCGATTATGCCAACATCTTCTTTCGCCTTGGTCGGCTTGGCGGCGTAGTCGGCCATGGTGTGCTTCTCGGGAATCGGGGGGATGACGAGAGTGGGATGGAGGTTGACCAGAGCCGCACGCAGCGAGCTGAATTCAGAATACCTCCTCGCGACCTCAATATCCTAGAATACGCATGTGAGCCTCTCGGTCTGCTTGAATTGTCTTGCGTGAGGCCTACTCCTGTTCGTATCTTGTACACAATATAACCACCATCCGCGCTCTTGCCCGCATCGGTGATGACGATCTCCAGGTCTGGTTGCTCATAGAGGATCTGCTGTACCCTGCTGTCATAGCCACCTTTGGGAGGGATAGGGCCTGTCTCTGCCTGCGTCTCATCATCGTCATTTTCCTCGTCGTGGAATTGCGAAGGTTGGTTTGAGGAGCTTGTGAATGAGGGAGGTGGTGATTGATCAGAGTCTAGTCCGGGTCAGCGGTCACTTGCGCAGGATCTAATGCTCCAGGCATACAAGAAGTGCTCAGAGTTGGGTTGGTCGGCACGACCGACGAATCCTGGTTATTGAACGACCCGTACGGGTTGTTGTCCTCGTCGTCCTGCCACATCTCGCCCGCATGTGATGCGACAACGCGCGACAAAGTAGGCGACTGAATACAGCTGACGGTGGCTAGAGTGGTCAAAGAACAGTACGGCGTAGTGAGGTGTTGAAGGCATATGGGACTTGATGCACTCCCACCCGCTAAGCCACGTCATTGGTTGCTGCTTCTCCAGACGCTCGGGCCATTTGCTCCGACGGCGGGAAGGCGCTAGACGACAACGACTGCAGGGCTCGAGCTCACCAGCATCTGAACTATCGCCATACTGTACATCCAAGTCCCGTCCGTCCAGATACTCAGTTTGCCGCAGCCTTGCCTTGATTGCTGCGTGCAGCCCAGTATCAGCCAGGTCATCGCACAAATGCACCCGTGTCAATGTTGGGGCGGCTGATAGAAAAGAGCTCTCCCACCCCCCTCAACATGCTGAGCGCTCTGACCACCTCCATCCGCCGCCTCTGCATCTTCCTCTCCTCCAACAATATGACTTCTTCTCCCTGCAGTGAACCAGTTCTTCCCCGATGCCTTGCGCCCGTAACGCCCTTCAGCATATGCAGACCTCGCGTCCAAGCCTTGGTCATTCCTCCCGGCACCCCTCCCCTTAACACTGAACCAATTCCTCCCTGAGAACAACCTCTTTCCCCCATTGCCTGCATCTCCCCCCCTTAGTCCATATCCATAGCCGTGTTGATATGCATGGGGTACAACCGGGCCACTAACGTATGTCGACTGCACGAAATTCGCTCCTGGCGTGTCAACCACAGGCGTTACTCCCACTGGCTGGCCATGCGCAAGCCACCAATTTCCCTTCCATGGCTTCCGACAGTAATACCATATCATCCCGAACAGCAAACACGCACCAAGGATGGTACCAACGATCAGGCCCGCCCTCTCTCCTGTGCTCCATGTATCCCAGCCGCTATCTTCAGACGAAGGTTCCACCACATAGACGAATGGCTGCGTTGTGGTCGGATTGGTAGGTACAGGCGGGTTGACTGGAAGCATCCAGGTGGAATAGACGCTTCCGACCGTGTTCTGAAGGTAGATATCCAGCTCGGTGAGGACGAAAGTGGATGTCCCGATCTGCGTGATTGTTACATCTGTTGCGGGAATGGGCGATGGTGTGTATTTCGTTGTTGGTGCCTCGGCTGTAGAAACAGCAAATGAGGAGGGTGTGTGGATCGTCACCGTTTGACCGAAGGTTGCGATGACGGTTGAGGCCAGGTGTGAGGTTACAGTGACGGTCACATCACTGCTGATGAGAGTTGGTGACACGATCACTGTGGTAGCGGTTGTCTCGGTCACGTATTGAGAGGTAATCGCTGCCGTGCTCAACGCCATCCTGTTTGCTAAGGCAGTAACGGCGGAGGCAGCGGGTCATTGAGGATGGAAAGCTGGCTGAGTGTGCAACGTAGAAGTAGGTAAGTTGGTTGAAAGGAGTCGAAGGTGCGACAGCCTTTTTGATCGGAACATGAAGGAGAAGTGAAAGGCCTCCTCGCACTCTCGACTGCCTATGATTCTCACATTGGCATTACACTAAGAACCACGTTGTTCTGTTGCCATCATCGACGACCCTCCCTTCTCCCTCCATAGCACATATCCGCACGCTTGTTTCCGCCTCGCGTACCCGTTTACAGAGACTTCCGTCACGATTTGGTCGGTTCAGGTGTTGCTGTCTCTTGTCCCTCCTTGCCCTCCTTGAGCATCAGCAACAACGGGTCGCTCACCCGCGGCCCTGCGCCGCAAGCCCTCCTCGGTCATTGCGAGATACTCCTGCGCCACCGGCACCCATAGCTTCCACGCTGCACAAACAACGATTGGCGTAATAACGAGGAAGCAGACGAGGATCGTCAAACCGGAGTTCATCTTGTAGCAATGCTAATCTTGATTGTTGAGAGGCGGGAAATTCTGGAGGCCTTGTATTAGTCCTGAAGGCGGCGCTGTGCTAGGGAGGGTGAGGGCTGGGTAACTCACAAGCTGCGAGGAGATCAGCCAGACAGAGTCGCGTCCTAGGGATTCTTCGATAGCATTACTTCTTTTTGTGGCTGGATGAATGGATCCTGGGAATAGTCCCTAAAGCAGGCGTTGTGTTGGGGGGATTTGAGGATACGGTTCGATTGAAAAAGATGCCTTCATCTACACTGCCTGCTAAGAGCACGTTCGACCGCACCCAGAAGCACCGGATTCACGGGAAGGCTTGAGCAAACTTCTTTCACTCTTTGCAGCTTCGCTCGCAGTTTTCCTTTGTATGCCTTCCTGTCGTGACGGTAGAGCACTCCCGCGAGGCTGACGACTTGGTACAGAACCACCAGTATCTCATGATCGTATGTTACGCCGAGAGGATGACCAAACAGCGATTCGCAGAGCTGGATCCGATTCGCGCATGCGCCGCTAGCTACATCCTGGTCCTTGAAATCCCTCGTCGGCTGGTTTGTTAGAGATCTGAGCTGGTCGCTTGGAGCTTTCAGCTGTTGTATTTCGAGCGTGTCGTTGACCGTATCTAGACCATCCAGCGTCCATTTCATAACCGCCTCAAACACGTCTGGAGCCAGATGGTCGATTCCTTCATCGTCGAATACTCCAGTCCAAGTGTCGATCTCGCGGATGTCGTCAATGTAGAGATTTTGTCTCTCTTCTGCAAAGAGGTCATTCAGTTTTCTTGCGATGCTGCCCAGCTTAGAAGCCACCGGAGTTTCCAAAAGAGCAGTCGATCCAAGTCCAGACGGCCCGGAAATACCGCCCGTCTTGTGCCCAAGCCGTAACACATTGACTAGGGCGACCTCAGTGAGTTCTGGTAATGCTTTAGCCTGGCGCTTCAACTCGTGCAGGACTTCCTCTCTTGCCGCAACGGCACAATACTCCAGGTTGTCCATTGCAGACGTCTTGTGGAGTTTGAATCTTCGGCCAGCATGAACTGCCTCAAGCCTGATGTCTTCGTCGTCGTCATTAAGTAGGTCGTACAGGAGTAAGAGAAGTCGTAGCCGTACACCAGGGAGTTGCTGGGGGGTGACAGAGTCTTCCATGTGGCCGATGTAGGTTGAAACCGCCGCGACAGCGCTTAGCCTCGAAGGAAAGTCTAGGTCGTCTCTTGCACTATCTTCGGCCACTCGAAGCCACTCTTCAACTTGTCTTTGATAGTCTGGAGGTTGTGGATGTGCAAGTCGAACAACTCCCAACAGCGATGCTCGTAATTTCAGTGCTGTGTTCCGCAGTTCGCGCGGAGTGTGCAACTCAGCAGAATCTATTCGTCGAAACACCATTTGTGCCGTCGCCAGTGGCATTGCCATGCCATGCTCAAGACTCCGTGTCAAGCAGGTGAAAGTTTGCTCGAGAACATATTGCGGTGGAGACGCCCTTTCAAATGCTTGATCAATTAATCCAGCAAGGAAGATAGGTAAAGGTGCACAAGGTCTGTGGCAGTTCCTCTGGCACAGGACATCCAACGCAAAGCTGAGAGCATCTATATTGTCGATGAGTTGCGATATCCCGTTTGCAGCCACCTCGCCTCCGTTAGGCAAATCCTTGCCTACCATCAGAATGTGATAAGTCTCATGGAGTAGTATCCTTTGCAACAACTGGGGTCCATGCTGCGAGTTGGTCGTCGGGAGGTTCCTGATTCTTTTGGTGAGAGGTTCCGTTTTGAGGATTTGGTGACTCCAGCCGCGCTCCAGAATACATGACGCGACGTCGTTGAGCACATCCATGCATGCCGTGTAGACGTAGGGTGAATGGCGAGCCAGATCCCCATTAGCGAGCGTCATGTCTCGAATGAGTGTGTCGACAAGCAACTCGAGCTCAGTCTCAGTTACGATGCTCATACCCTGTTCCAAAAGGTATCGACAACAAAGCAAAACACCATGGACCCGATTTTCCGTGCCAACGAGACCATTGCCGAGAAACGCCATGATTGCTGTAACAGGGCTTACTCTCCTTATGCGAGTAGCCAGTAGCAGAGCTGCGTGGTCCCTGACAGTCCAAGCTGGGTTCCCAAGCTGCCGCATGACGAGTTTCTCGGCCACATCTGCCATTGACCCGGCTAAAATCGCGTGTCCCAGTAGATCCAGGCCAGCGAAAATGTCTTCCACGGCATTGCTTGGGCCGTGGCTGTCGTACCCGGGCAATGGCCCAGCTTTGTCAAGTAGGCGGAACGCAACCATCGATGGCGGCTTGCCTTCTCCCCCGGCTTGGGACTGGTCCCTCAGATTCTGGCGTGGTAATGAACTAGAGGAATCAAGACGATTGATGCAGGCGCGCAAAAGCATGAGCCCACAATTGCGAACTGCCCAGATCTTTGACGACAGGCAAGCCGCAGCGAGCTCCATTATTGAGTCCTGGTAGGGGACAACAGCAGCCGAAAATCTCGAATTCGTCATGATATCTTTGAGGCAGTTCAATGCATGAACCTGGGGCAGCTTCATTTCTCCGATCTCCTGAAGAGAAGCATCGTCAATTGGCCTCTGTGCAATAGCTGTCAGGTCGGCAAAGGTTCTCGAGAATAGTTTCCGGTCAGCCGGACTAAGAAGTGCGGTTATCATTGCTGGGAGCCCAGCCGATCGCCGGATCAAGCGATTCGCTTGCTCGTCGATCTGGTCCAGAGCAGCCTGCAATTGTAAGCTTTCGTTATGCATAGTTTGTTGAAAGTAGTACCAACCGTGTACCATTCCTGGATGAGTCCACGTATGGATGAATCGACGGACAAGCGGATCTTCTCACAACACTGACTGAATGTTTGTGCAACAGTCGAGAAAGCTCCTCGATGCCGCAACGAGATCAGCTGGTCTAAGCAAAGGCTGCCGATGGCGTGAAGGAGTTCGCGAGAGGGTGTCACGATGGCGATCAGCGATTGAAGGACGATGCTTTTGGTGTTAGTAACAATGATTACGTCCTGGTGAAAGTACCTACCTGGAATCACGAAGCGCTCTCCACGAAAAGGCCAGAAGGTCTTTGGGGCCTTCATCGTCAGTTTTGGTCTCTATCTCCGAGGCTCTTTCCGGAGAGTCCACGCAAAGCTGTTTTCTCACTTGATCCCAAACGTTTGCACACGCCTCCAAGAGCGTGAAATCAAACGATGAGAGATGACCATCCTGGAGATAGCGTAACCGATAACTGATACCTAATAAGAGACCATGGATTGGGATGGCGCAGCCAGGTCTCAGTTCGAAGCCTCCTTGCTTTGAAGTCAGAGCCTTGAGATGCTGAATTTCTTCGACAAGATCAGTGCTGTCGGTTTCCACGGGCACGCCATTCGAAGGAGAGGAGGAGACACCTCTCAAAGCGCTAAGTCGACCCATGGCATCTGCATGATCGGCCCTACCAGTCCTGACGGCAAGGACTTGGACCTTCTGGAGGAGGGAAGGAGTCAGAACACTTGCAACCGAGCTATGATCCTTGCAGGCTAGCGTTCGGAGCAGAGTTGCTGCGCCGCTCCGGACATCTTCGAATGGGTCGATGACAAGGCAGATCAAAGCCTGAACAAGGCTTTTGTCGCCTACCAGCAAGTCAGGATCCATCTTGAGGTCAAAAAGATACTGTAAGGAGAGTACAGCGAGAATATGACGGGGATATGACGCCCCTGTGCAGAGCTCTGTCTTCAGAAAGTCATATAATCTCCCCACGAATGATTTGTATGAATCCAGGACGATATTGGCTTCTTCATCGGCATCAACGAGGTGCGTCACCCTCCTCAAGGCTGTGGCACTGTTTTGAAGCCTTCTCAAGAGTCTCTTTGTAATGCTCAGAATCTCACCCCTTTCATGGGCGTCAGGATCATCATGGAGATATCGCATGCTGAAGGCAACGCAGTCGAGTACGCTGGGGCTGACTGTAGCGTTGCCAGCTGGTGAGATTGTTAGTAGTCCATATGTGAGTATCCGCAGCTCGGGATCCGCGGTCTTCAACATTTGCTTGAACCAGTACATGTTGTTTGATTCGTCGACGTTCGTCGAGGCCACATCCTTGAAAGCTACACCGAAGGCGTCGAACATCTCTACGGAACAGGTGAGTACTGGATCAAGATAAAGCCAAGTGGAAAGACACATACCAGCTTCGGACAAAATCCCTTTTGCACGCCCAGCTTTAAGGACAGCGATAAAAATGGACATATCTGCACCTCTACCATAGCTAGAACTAGCATATCGCTGCGCAAAAGCGATGAGTTTTTCCTTCTTGTCTAGGATCATAGGTAGCACATTCTCCGCGAATGTGCCTGATGCTGCATGGTTTCTCTCCAAGTACAGCTCTATGGACCGTTCGATCACCGCCGGTGAATTGGAAACGTCGGTGTTTCGGCGACTGTCGTCGCACAGGAACGTGCACAGCTTCAACGCGGCACTTCTCGTATCAAGGTCTACCATTGCAAAGATCAGTGCAACGAAGAGATGAGGGATACTTCCCCTGTCGATATTGGAAACGTCGGATATCATGACATGATGTTCCGCCAAGCGCTGTCTCCAGGCATAGTCGTTCTCATTGACACATTGTAACACCAGTTCATCCAGAAGCGGAAGTAACGGAGTCCTTCGGTGCAAGTATGCTAACATAAGAGAAGCCTTCTTGATATCAGATCGGGGCGAAGCTAGCAAGATGGTTTTCAATAATGGCAGAGATGCCCTCTTGAGGACCAGGCTGCCCGTGGTGTCATCCAGCTTCGAGAACAGATCACAGAGGGTTTCCAGGACCTGATTTGCTGGTTTCGTCTTGCCGTCATTGAAGGCCTTGTGAGCACATTGGAAGGCTTCGAACCACGTGTCTTGGGAGATGACATGATTTCGAAGCTCGGCGGCAGGGCTCATCGAGCCGCCATTGAGATAGACACATAGAGCATTTGATGCCGCTGTGATATGATGATCATTCACATGGGGACTGCTTGCTGTCAGGACGAGTTTTGGCCACAGACTGCGCAGTCGAGCCACCTGCCGCCCGTCGAGCGCATTGAGCAGGTCCCTTCTCAATGATCCCTTTCCCAGTTCCGAGAGAAGTGAAACGGACAGCGGCACCTCTTCGGCCAAGGCTCGAGAAACAGTTTCCCTATCCATGGTCGGCACCTGCAAGCATCTTCGAGAAAGGCTGCTTGCTTGACACGCAAGTGAGTTTTAAGTGAGAGGAAGGCGAGGTGGGCGATCTACTCCCAATATGGACTAGCGTCAAAACGGCGCTCCTCGAATGATTCGCATCGAACATTTTCTTCCGGACGATTCGAGATTCCATCTGGCCTTTCATTCCTCATCTCAGCTGCCAACCGTGACTCTCTTGCCGTTTGCCGCTCATCTACTCGACTTGCTCCGTGTTTTGCTTTCCATCGGTACAAGGGAAATATGTCGGTGTGGGACGCCTTCTCGGGGAAGAAGTCGTCGAGGCAGCAGACGGAAGCCTCGAGCCACGCTCAATCGGCTCCTTCATCACCAGCTGCGCCTACATCATTTACACCCACCCACTTCGATCCTACAGTCGCAACAGACGCATCGTCATTCCTCGGTAGCGCCTCCTTACCCGATGCCTCGAAGTTACATCCTCTTGCCGGCCTGAACCAGCAAACGCTTGACTATCTTTCTCTCGATGATGCGGCACTCTCAGACCTGCCTGGCGGGAGGTCAATATTACCTTCCCGCGGCTGGTCCGACGATCTATGTTATGGCACTGGGACCGTCTACCTCACAGCACTCATGACTGGAGGAGCATGGGGCCTGATTGAAGGACTGAATCGAACACCAGCCTCCGCACCTCCGAAGCTACGCTTGAACAGCGTCTTGAACAGTGTTACCCGTAGAGGCCCTTTCCTTGGTAACTCGGCCGGCGTGGTAGCCATGGTGTACAACGGTGCCAATTCAACAATCGGATACTATCGAGGCAAGCATGATACTGCCAACAGCATTGCGGCCGGCGCATTCAGCGGAGCCATTTTCAAGAGCACAAGAGGCGTGAAGCCCATGGTGATTTCGAGTTGTATCGTCGCATCTATTGCAGGCGCGTGGGCCGTAGGTCTACATTTGCTTCGATTAGATCTGTGGTGTACTGACATCTCCGCAGGTAACCCGCAAGGTGGTCTTCGAATCCGGCGAACCGGCCGAGGCCAGAGAAACCATCATTGCGCCATCCGGCGCCGCCCTATGAGCTCTTCTTTCTTCATCGTGTATAAAATCCAATCTTTTCCTGTGCCACATTTTCAGCGATGTGCACGACTTTCGACCGATCGATGTCGATTCTACGATCCTCACTCTTGGATGTGGCAGTGCATAGCGGCAATGGGAACCAGTACAGGGCGTTCTAGGAGATGGATGAGTTGTACGATAAAACTTGGTTGAGCTGATCAACCACAGTGGCTTCGAGCCACTGCACTACGGTCAAGCCGGTGGAGAAGGAGACATATATGCCTGGACGCTGGGGAGGCGGCGCCGTATCAGGTCTGCTAGTCTCTAGTATACCGAATACTAATAAGATCGAACAAATTTCACTTTTAGGGGTGCACAAGATGAGACTCGTTTTCGCACAGCAGGAAGAGACTGGACTCTTCCCAGCCTCCAAGACAGAGTCATGGAAGTTACACAAAGCGGACGTTCTTCGCCTTGGGCCATTCCGCGCCCTCCTCTTCGTCTTTTGCATAGTCGTTGCGGTCTCCGCGAAGGCCTGCCCTCTTGGCCTCATCTTCCCGCCGAATGCTGTTGACGTACTTGTGAAACTTGTTGCTCATGTCCAGCACGCGCCTGAAATGCGCCTCCTCGACGACGATGGACTCGTTGGGATCATTGTCCGGATCCTGGATGGCCTCGAACTCGGCCAGCCGAATGGCCGTCTGGAGCGCGTTGCGGATGTCCCGGCCATTCATCTCGTCCTGGCTCTCCACGTTGTCCAAAACCCACTTTTTGGCGTTGAGGGCGACCTTGATCTTCCCGACGCGCTCCTTGACCAGCTTCTTGAAGAAACCGTTCCAGATCTTGCGCCGGATATCGGCCGTCAGCGTCGGGTAGCTGATGGCCACGTGGACGCGGGAGATGAACGCGTCGTCGATCTGGCCGACGCGGTTGGTGGTCAGGAAGAGCAGGCCGTTGAAATACTCCATCCTTCGCAGGAATGCTTAATCTCGGAGAGTCAGACATGTGGGTTTCCGGCCGGGGGGTCATGGAACAGCTTTGCTCACCTGACACAAGACCATTGCGAGCCAGGTCGCGGTTTTTCCGCTGCTCGAGGAAGATGTCCGCTTCGTCGACGAGGAGGACGGCGTTCCACGCCTCGGCCAGATCGAACCACTTGAGCAGCTCGGCCTCAATCTTTGTCTCTCGAGTCCCGATGTCGGCAACTGTCAGGGCGAGGAGAGGCCGGTGAAGCCATTCAGCAATCGACTCTGAGGCTTCGTAAGTTGTCCGGTCGACAGATGGAAGCTGATGTTCTACGTACCAACGGTATACGTCTTCCCGACCCCTGGAGGTCCTGAAGTCAAGTCAGACTTGTGTCTTGGACACATGGGCTGTCTATGCCTTACCATGCAGGAGAATGATTTGTCCAGAGCCTTTGCCTGCAATAAAGTCTGCCGACCAGCTGTCGATTTTGCTGCTCTGTTGATTGGACAGCGCTCGAATGGTGTTTAGCTCGTCTTTGTCGATGATTAGGTTTTCGATACTCTCGCTGGAGGATGATATGGTTTGCATTCGGTCGACGCGGACCGCCACTGTTCAGGTTGTCAACCTCGCGGGACATTCGTCCGTGGAACAGGACTAAACCTACTCCACTGTTTGGAACTTATTCCGAAGGCGAATGTTGAAGGGTAGAGCAGCAGAAGCTGATGCTCTGTGAGCTCCGTGGTACGGATACTCGCCGCCGAGTCGAGATTCCCATCCGGAGAACGTTCAACTGGGTAGGAGTCACGTTCAATCTCTTCGACACTTACTGCCAACTTCACGCCTGACAACTTCCGTCGGAGAGCTGCACGGTCTTGTTCCCTGTCACCGGCGTACTCGGACTCATTCACGTAAATGTAGTCATATTCTGCAAACTGCGGGTAGTCGTCAACGACGTTTGCGAGGTCAGGACTGGTGAACGTGCGGTCGGTGTCATATGTCAGGGCTCGTCGCACATCCACCACGACTTTGCCTTTGTACTGTTGGCGAGTAAGTGATCAATCCAAACAAAAAAAGCATCTCTGTGGTCCCTACATGACGGGTTGTAACGAGATCGGGTCCGTCGTAGCTCGCGAGCATGTTCCCGGCCTTCAGGGCTGAAACGTACATTCCACTTCGTCGCAGGATCTGCTCTCGCCTGGCTCCGCCATCAGTGGCGTCCCAATAAGAGACGGGGCAAAGTGGCAGCGAGGTCACGTCTCGGAGTCCTGTATATGAATTGATCTGGTGCATCACTTTTGTCCGAGCAATCCTGGCCCCATTGGTGACCAAGTGCCATGCGTCCACCTCCCAATATGAAGGCGTGGTTGAAGACAGCCATTTGGTCTGATCCAAGTTGCTCTTGACCTCGCGAACGACACAGACCGAAATCATATCATCGGACTGCACATAGACATCGACACCAGGCCGGAACAAGTACCATAGCATGTCGAAAGAAATTTGAGGTATAGCCTGCGACAAACCGTCCAGGCAGGGTTGGATGCGATTCTCGTACTGCGGTTTCAAGAAGTGGTATAACAGTTTCATGTGCTCAACCGCGATCTTCGATCGCTCAAGGTCGATGGCCGCATTCAAATCTTGGGCTTCTTTTGGCATTCCTCTGGGATCTTCACCCTCCACGAAGTCTTCAATTGCAGCAAAGTGGTGCATCAAAAGGTCGTAAGGCTCGGGGATGAGGGATGGTGTCTCGGGTCGAGGAAGAGCAGGATAGTAAGATACAAGAGATGCCAACGCATCGCTCAAAGCCTTCGAATGAATGATCATCCTCGTCTTCGCAAACTTCTCAATCTGCAGTTGGTCAAACGATTCTCGAATGTCGGCCCCATATTGGTATTTGCTCCCCTTAGCCTTGGTTTGCTCCAGGACCCTCGTTTCCAGCTCAAAGACGGGTTGATCGGGCCTCGGGGCGGGGACATCTTTTGCAGCACGTTCGGTGTCCGGTGCTTCTGAAGGCCGTGCCGTGGGAGTAGGAAGCTGCTGGCAGAGCGAAAGATCATATGGGCAGTCATTCCTGAATGTCACTGTTGGACGTTCGCGGTCGCCAAGACCTTTGCGATATACATCGACTCTCCACAGGACCTGAGGAATGTTCCGTCGCGTGGCTGCCTGGTCGGTCTTGGTTGTCTCCAAGTCCGGTGACCACTCCTCTACCAAACGAGACTCCTCCTCATACTTGATAGCCTCTCTCACATATTGACTCGCAACGTGACGGATATTTCCTTGGAAGTCCGAGTCTGATGAGTCCGAGTCGTCGATGAGCGGAGGACGAGACCTTCGACGCCTTGTATAGGACGGGATCTCGTCATAGCCAGAATCGAAGATTTCTCGGTGCTCATCTATCGGCCTCGGCTCAGGCTCCGTGTTCTCCGCTGAAACAAGCTCTGGCGGTGCTGGTGGGCCCGTAGCCCCAGACTTCGATGGGTCGGGCTCGCGAGTAGAAATACCATCCGTTGTTCCATTTGCGTGTGTATCCATGGCAGTAATATTGTCGAGGTGTTTAGGCAGATAGAGCATCCAGATGGCCCGCTGCGAGCCTTGCTCCACAAACCTGGGCAGCAGCCTTAGTAGCGGTTGCGAAATTCCTGCTCGTCTGCGGTGGTTTAGCGAAGCTGCGTTGCCCGTGTACCACTCATGAGTAACATCGTCAGGGAGAACATCTCCCCAGAAGGCAGAAATTCCGACCTCCAGTGCTCGAAAGAGCTCGAGGATTAATGAGCATTTTCACCGGCATGAGACTTTGCACCGTCGGAGGCTTTCCAGTAAGGCCTGCCACGTCTCAGCTGGGCTGCACAGTTAACCCTTGTGCCTGAGTACCTAGGGAGTTAGTATGTATCCGCCAGCAGATTCATGCAGCTGCGTCGCAGGCGCTAAAGGAGACCATTTTGCGACCAGTTCGTCTGCAGTAAAGTTGCAGGTCTTGATTTGCTGGAGGAGAGGAGAAAGCGCTCGCAAGGCATTCTGGCCCTGAGTGGCTTCCAAGGCGTCCAAGGATGGCAGCGCAATCGACCCACCAAATGCTGCATTTGCCACTGTCAACCGCCTGCCTAAATCAGGCGTTTGTTGACGTCTCTCTTGGTCAAGGTTGCAAGATAAATGCCTTGCCTCGGACGGGCTGGAATTCGGAAAAGCGAACATGCGAATTGGCCCCGTGAACTTTGTATGCGCGATTGGATGACTCCCAGATGCAATTGAGCGAAGATCCCGGACCAAGCTCGAAGCTGGTGAGGACTTTCAGTGACCAATTGACCCGAGAAGCCCCCAAAGACTCGCTTGTCCGCGGACTCGCAACCAAAGTCGGCCATGACAGAGAACAAGAGCAAAGATTGATCGCTCTCCGAGATGAGTGGCAATGGCTTTTCCGTGATGCGCGCCAACTTGCGCAGATGTACAGCCCAGAGCGTCCGGCTTATTTGAAGACCTGCTTACCCTGTACAGAGCGGTGCCGGATGAAGAAGTGCAGCTGCTAGACAAGAGCCGCGCACTTTTTCAGGCGTGGGAACGTTTCCAACAGCAGCTTCCTGCCGCCCAGCGCCGGGACCTACGAGATCAACCCCCCAGTATCAGACTGCTTTTTGAGACGGTGCAGAATGCTTCAGCCACGTGGCAAGACAAACGCGCGGGGACTAGACGTGGTAGACTGAAGAGGATCTTCGCGAGACTGTGTTCAAGCTGTGAAGACCATAGTCAACTCATGGCTGTTGTTCCAAACGACGACAAGTACATCTGTCTGCTTACCGGTTCGTTGTCCGCAATTGCACAAGTGAGTGAGTCCTGTGGTTTTATATCCCTCTCTAATCGAAGCCGAGGCGACCATAAATCATGAGAGACTTGCAGAGGGTGTTGCAGATGGAATCAAGCAGTTGTCTGACGATCTGGTGTTCTGGAACAAACAACTCAGCGTCCACGGCGACAACCATGCAATGCAAGGCTACATCAAGGACTTATACGTGGTCATCTTCGAGTTTCTGACCGATGTCTTTGTCGAATGGTCTTCCTCAGGATGGCAACGGTTTGTCAACAGCTTCAACAAAAACTCATTCGACCGGTTACTGAGCTCGAAGAGAGCCCAGATGGACGCTATTGCAGCGCGGCTGGATCGCGAAGCCAATCTCGAGACACAAAGGCGCATTCGCACCATGTGCGATGACCAGCGCAAGTTGACCCAATACAACAAAGACCACATGGCTGAACTCAAGGCGCTTGCGTTGGATCTTGGAAGCAAGAGTCAACGCTTCCTGGAAGGTTTAGATCTAAGACCTATCGCTCATGTAGGTGTGCAGCAACTGTCTCAACCTGTCACGCACGTCCTAGCTATCGAAGATGTCCCAGACACTGGCTCTGATGCTGAGGACTTACCGCCAACGGATTCTCACACACAAGAAGATCTGAAGAAAGCTATTGCCACGTGCAAGAATGTTGCCAAACTCCAGGACGATGAGCTCGGCGGCATTCTATACGATACCTCACGTGTCCTCGTCGATGCTGGAGTTGCAAACCGCCTGCAATCGTGGACGAAGAGCGATGAAGCGGATCGACTTTGGATCCAGGGACCACGCGACACGACGAGGCCATCTCAGAACACGTTGACCGCGATCTCTCTTGTGGCTCTGGCCAAACGCCATAAGATTCCGCTCATTTCATACTTCTGCACTATTGCGGACGACAGACATGGCGCAGCCTTGCTTACAGACTCCCTGGCGGACATGGTATCGTCACTCATCCTCCAAATGGTGGCTCTACTGCCCTCGCAGTTCACGACAGGGTTGGACCTGAGTCCCGTTCGGCTCGGACTCGTTGACAAGGAAAGAGGTTCAATCTCCGAAAAGCTGGACCTCCTACGCGACCTCCGCAGCCTGTTGCCCGAGCTCGTCTTCTGCATCATTGACGGTCTTCAGGTTTTGGAAGACCGCTCGGACCGGGCGCACACACGGCACTTACAGCAGGTCATCTATTGTCTCTGTACCTTCGATGGTGACCACGAAGGTGGGAAGACAATGACCAAGGTGTGCTTCACCACTGACGGCTATGTCGACATCTTGGGTGCTGCTGCTAGAGCAGATGCGCTCGACAAGGTCTACTACGAGATTGACGCCGCCGACGGAGCTGTCGATGACATAGATTATGCGAAATGATTTGAGAGTCGCCAACCTCCCACCGTACTTGTGCCTCTCTGCTGTTGACCGAGATACTCCTACTCCAACACTGCTGTACAGACAAAGGGGAACCGTCTCCCTAAAGCATCGTCCTGCGCCAGGCCCGCGCAGCGAGGGCTTCGATCATATTCGTGTCAATGACGCCCTTCGTCTCGTCATCAGCAATGGCCTCAACCACCGCATCTGCGACCAAGTCCGCCTTCAAAGGCTTCTCGACCGCCGCGCCAAACAAACTCGTCAAGCCGCCACCAACCAGACTATTGACGGTACTGCCTAACATCCCCGAAGCCGCGATTGGCAATGTAAACTTCCGACTGTTATCGTACAGGAATCCTGGTCTGACAAAGATGTTCCGCAGCTTGATCATCCGACTTGCTATCGTACTCTCTGCTTCTCTCTTTGTCGTGATGTACCTCTTTGGCAGAATCGGCGCTCCCGCCGCGGCTGAAATATACACAAAGATAGTTGCACCTTCTCTTTCTGCTTCTTGGGCTAAGGCTATGGCCGAGTCTCTGTTCATCAACTCATACGTTATCTGTCCATCTTTCTCTCCCTTTTCTAAGCCCTCGCCTGGCTCGCGATCGAGCGGATTCGTCGAACTGCCGGCTTTCTTGGAGCTGAATGCTCGAGACAGACCCGACAGCACGGACTCTTTCCCTGACAGGACGCCCTTGTAGTCTGCCTCAAGGAGGATGCCCATGGTGTGGACGACAGCGTCTGCGTCTTTGAGGTAAGAGGTGTAGGTGGAGGGTTTTAGAATGTCGCCCTTCGCCCAGGTCACGTCGTCGGACCACGGTGGTTTCGTTGACTCTGATGTGACCGAAGACCATGTCGGCTCGCCGGAACGACTTCATGTCCATTAATACATGCTAAGGCGGATTTGATGGGATAAAGTACCTTATGGATGTGACATCCCAGCCTCGAGCCACCGCCGACTTGCATATCCTCGACCCGAGAAATCCATTCCCGCCTGCTACGACCAGCTTTCTTTTGACTGCCTGAGCCATCGCAGCTGATTGTAGCTCGACTTTGCTTTCGCCTCTTCGGCAACTCACTCCGACCTCACTTCAACCCTCACACCAGCGCAGGAGCGTTTCTGTACTTTTTGGGAGAGTCAACTGCGTCATTGCGAACACGTCCCGCGAAAGGAAGGTGCGGCGAGTTTTTGGCCGACGTCGTTGTCTTCCACGGCTCAATTCCAACCATCAAGCCTTCACACAGGCACTTCCTTCGAATGACGTGCCTGAACAACTTTGAACCCGAGCTTACTTGGTCCTTCCGCTTTCGTACCAGCATTTCCACAAGATGCCTCCGGCAAAGCGTCGCAAGCTGACTCCTGAACCTGAGGAACAACCGGCAAATACAGCCAACACAGAAACACCCCAAGCCACCGCAGACTCAACAGAGAAAGATGCGCCACAGGCGATATCGTCTGCAATCGAAGCCCAAGACCCTGCGCTCATCGCAGAATCAACATCGAACCCTCCTGGAGCAGCTTCCGATGGTGCCCCCAAGCCAACAACTTCCACCCCCACACCAGCAGCGGACCGCCTCGCCCGTTTCGCAGCCCTGAAATCCCGGGCCTCCCAATCTGCAAAGTCGAATCTAGCAGAAGCAAAAGCCGAAGCCACCCGTGCAGCCATGGATCCTTCTCTCCTTGCAAACCTCTCCCGTCGCAGCGCGATTGCACAACACAACTTACTGAAAGCGGACACGGAAGAGACAGAGGGCACGGGAGCATTTGAGCGCAAACGCGCCTGGGACTATACCATCGAAGAGTCCGAAAAATGGGATGAACGCATTGCCGCCAAAAAGCATGCAAGAGAGAACAACGCGTTTCAGGATTACAGCGTCGAGGCAGGGAAGATGTACGACCGTCAAATTCGCGAGTTGGAGAAACAAGCTTTGAAAGACGGCGGCAAGAATCGCGAAGACTACGACCGTCAGAAAGCCGAGATCATTGAAAATGCAGCCCGCACAGGCGGTTTGGAGATCGTGGAAATGGACAACGGCGAATTGGTTGCCATCGACAAGGATGGAAGGTTCTACTCGTCGCAAGACAGCCTCGGGTTTATCGAACAGAAGCCCAAACGAGAAAACGTCGACAGACTAGTTGCAGACCTCAGGAAAGCCGAGGAAGCAAGATTCAAGAAGCGGAGAGACCGGGGCCGGGAAGCGGATGACGGGGACGTGACTTACATTAATGACAAGAACAAGCAGTTCAACTTGAAGTTGGCGAGGTTTTATGATCGCTATACGAGGGATATCCGGGAGAGCTTTGAGCGAGGAACGGCGATATGAGTATGAAGAGCGTAAAGCCAGAGCAGAAGCCGAGTCTTGCAGGGCAATCTCTGGCACGAGTGCTATTGGTGATTTTCTTGGTTCAATGCTCCCTCGGGTAACGCGAGAAGACCATGCACCAGTACATGCAACGGAAGACCGCCAATACTTGAAGTTCTTCAATTTATCAAATCAAGTACCTGCGTTTATTCGCCCAAGCAAAGAACGATAAACTCACTGCACGGCATCCAAAATCAATCGCATGTCCACAGGTCGAAGACGCTTCAATCCAATCCAATCCAATCCAGTCCAGCACAGTTCTTCGCATGCGGGCGGCAGAGTAGCAAGCCGGATCGGAATCGTGCGTGTACCTCGTATATGCGGGTGTGTTTGCAGGATATGTGTGATACAGTATGTAGCAGGGCGGAGATCGACGACGTGGATTCACTCCAATACAGTACATACAGTACAGTAATTATGTATGTAAATCTTTCTTCCTTTCCATGTCACGGAACCCAACGAATACGTCTTCTATATACCTGGATACAGAATACGGAGTACCTACAGTAATTCCTGTATTGTACTCAATCTCTCGACGGGGACCTGCCGAACCTGAGTAATATCACAGTGCACTCTAGGCATTGGAATTGGATGGCTCAGCGGCTGCGCTGAAAGGTTCATGTTCTCCTGACGGATCACGAATTAAAGTACTATACTCCGTACGTACGTATTGTCGAGGGTGTGGGAGGGTCAAGGGTCACAGATCACAGATCACAGATCACAGATCACAGATCACAGATCACAGATCACAGATCACAGATCACAGATCACAGATCACAGATCACAGATCACAGATCACAGATCACAGATCACAGATCACAGATCACAGATCACAGATCACAGATCACAGATCACAGATCACGCACGATTCACCGAACACAGACGACAGATCAAGAGCTACAGTACATTGGCATTTCGTATACTCGGATCAACCACCACGAAGCAGGTTCGGCAATATCTCTGTCGAGGATTATGCCTTCCTCAGGCATTATCGTCATCGGCGCGGGGGTCACGGGCCTTACGGCAGCAACGCTCCTGCAGCGAGAATATCCCAACATTGCGATCACGATCGTCGCGGCAGAAACACCCAGCACATCGCTGGACGGCCACCCCAGTGCGGACTACGCTTCCATGTGGGCGGGCGCGCACTATCGACCTGTCCACCCGCTCACGACACCACAGCTGCAATTCGAGCATAAACTGGCGATGCACACCGCGGAAATCATGCGCCGCATCGCGCGCGAGAACCCTGAGGCCGGCGTCGCGGAGATGCCTGCGTTGGAATATTTCGAGAATCCTCCGCCTGAACTCCTCCGCCTGAAAACAGGGGACGTGTACGCATGGCCGCGCGATGGGTTTCGCGTTCTCGAGCAGCAGGGCTTACCCCAGAACGCGGAATGGGGATGTGAATATCAGAGCTATTGCATCAATGTGCCGGTGTATTGTGGGTGGCTGATGGATCGCTTCGTCGCAAGAGGCGGGAGAGTCATCCAACGTCGCCTGTCGTCTGTAGGTGCAGCATTTGACTGCGCGCGAGAGGATGGCGTGGGAGGGAATTCACTCGTGGTGAACTGCTCGGGTCGCAACTTCGACGCAGACTCCAAAGTCAAGATTATACGGGGCCAGACCGTGCTGGTCAAACAGCAATACTACCGCACTGTTACTTGGCAGAGCGCAGATGGGACGTGGGCGTTCTTGATCCCTCGACCGAATGGTGGAGGGACCATCGTCGGCGGGACAAAGGAAATCGATGATTGGGAGTCAGCACCCCGCAATGAGACAAGAGAACGGTTGTTGACAAGGTGTGTTGAGTCGTTTCCCGATTTTGTGAAGACCGTGGAGGAATTCGGGATTTTGAAGGACAATGTCGGGCGCAGACCGTGGAGGGAGGGCGGCTATCGGTTTGAGATTGAGCAGATCGCTCCTGAAAAGACCATCGTCCATGGATATGGCGCAGGAGGCCGCGGTTATGAGTTGAGTTGGGGCGCCGCTGGCAAAATCCTTGAGCTTGTTAAGGAGGTTCTTGGTGGGAAGGCGAAGTTGTGACCCCCTTCCCCGGTAGTCCCATGCTGTACTAAGACTTCCTCCCCCATGTCAATTAAGGAGTTTGCTTCCCGTAATCCCAGGGTCAGGAGAACGATGTTTCCGTGCGGCTATCCATGTGACGAGCCGCGGCAGAGATGAGACTCAGCTATTTCCCACAAAATTGTTAGTCTCTCGTAATTGACTTGTGATAGAGGTTGCCGCTGGCGAGGCCAGAGGTGTGGGAAAACAGGGTGGCTTCTTCTCGAAGTGAACACTGGCGGTCAGTGGGCCGGGGCCTCTCATTTCTTCTTGATTGGTTTCCCTTCGGTCTTTTCCAGTTCTTGCAGCCTCGCCTCCTCCTTTGTGAGTTTGGCCTTTTCTTCCGCGATCAGCCTCTGCACTTGCTTGACTGCCTCTCCGAGCCGATCGAGCTCTTTACTCTCTTCTTCGCGGCTGAACTTGTTGCCTGCGGAACTCCTCAATGGGATCTCGGCCGTCGGTGGGGCCTTGACCATTCCCTTTGCCCCCTTGCCTGCCTTGGACTTGACCACCTGTGTCCCCCCCGTCAGGATATCGTAGAAGGCCTCGACCGGCTCGTTGAACAAGACCTCCTCGTAGCAAACGCTGCTGATCATGCTCCGGTCCCTCTTCTGCGCTTCGATGTCGCCGTGATAAGGATGTAACTTCAACCCATGCCAAATCTGCTGCGGCTTCTCTGTACTCTCCGGCGCAAAGTAGAACTTGATGGCAATCTCAAACTCGCCCCAGCCGGTCTCCTCGACCTCAAAGGGTGGACTCTCAATCATGCGCACACTGTTGGCGTACGTGTCGTGGAGTTTGAATTGCACTTTTCGCAGCCAGTATGAGATGTCCTCGTTGTTGATCCCGCGCACGAAGACTTTCCATTTGTGCGTGTGGTCCGGCGGGGAGTCCTTGGGGCGGTTGTCCGGGTCGAAGGGGATGGCTTCGGTGCCGTAGATGAAGGGCCGATGGATCTGGACGCCGCGAACGCGCTTTACACCAGAGGGCGCAGGCATCGCTATAGGGAGAGGGTGGAAGAGGGGATTCACAGGATGAGGTATGCACTCCGTACGAGTACACCGTTACTGTGTAGACACGATCGAACGTGTAAAGTCGCGGGACAAATTCGGGGCGGCCCAGTTGCCTAAATCGACAGGATCCGAGCTGCACGAACTGAGTGAATATCTCTTGAGTTTCACTTCACTTCACAGTCAGTTCCAGTATGTTGCTAGTTCTTACCCAGGCCCATGAATCACTTCATTGATGCAGAAGATGTGAGCGCTGAGATGTCGTCGAGAAGTCCATCCTCCCTTCTGAGTGACCTTGAGGGACGAACGGTTCCATCACACATGTACACATAGCATATTGGATGGGCCTGCGCACGTAGAATTCCTCGCTGAGCAGTCGCCATGGTACGAAAAATATTTCTCTATGCGTCTAGTAGCCATGCTCCAGGCGTCGATTCCAGCATACATAAGTACGTTTTACTACGAGGTACTTTACACGCTATAGCCGAGTCCGAGTCGGAGTCACTTGAAGGACAGACGAATTAAAACAAGTCACTTAGAGCAGCGTCATGGTCCTTCCCAACACGGCCAGATGCAGCATTCGCCGATCGCAATATCTTGGCGTGTGAACATGTCTCCAGCTGCTCTTGTTTCCTTTCTTCCATCCTGTATAGTCCATGATTCCGTTGCGTTCAGACCCCATACCCCCCCCCCACCCAAAAACCGAACAGGGCAGCACGATATTCTCAGTCAACTCTTTTTCCTGTGCCAGCAAACACCGATCCACGTAACCCGAGATTGACTCGTAGGCGCCACTGATGCAGGACTCGTAGCCTGCAATACCTATGTACGCAACGCCCGGTAGGCGGGTGACGAACCGGGCGAAAGTAATTTGTCCGTCATGTGCCACCCGAGTGCAAGTAGTGTGGCGCGCCCTGTCGTCGTCCCCTGCCCTCTCGGCCAAGAGGAACCGTATTCCAACCTACGTTAAACAGGCAAATGTGAAAGGGCAGGGGTCCTTAGGCGGGATACCGGCCCCGAAATCCACGGGCCTACGACACAGAGAGAACCCATTATTCATTGCGCCAGAGCTCGTGACGGGACTGCAGAAGCTGGGCTTCTCCTCGGTCCCCGCGGTCGTCGACGTGCTGCGACATCTCAACCACGAGGCGACGAAGTTGTCCCCGACGAACGTCGTCCAAGCCCTGACTACGCAGCAGCACTTCACGCGAATCGCGGAGCAGGAGTTGGGCACTGCCGAGGCTGCGCTGGTGCGCGACCCGAAAGTCCTGCGCAAGGCTTTCCACCTCTTGGGCCGGAACTACTTCCACCAGCAAAACAGACAGGGTCAGGAAGGGCTCGCCGCGCTGAGGATCGCATTTTTTGCTGGGGAACTCGACGCAGGTATCGACGCCGCGACCGCCGAAGTCATGGTTAACATAAGTCGCGTGGAATTGGGCGCGACTTCGACGACCGGCACGCTTCTCTCGGCACGGCTCTTCGAGTTCATCAAGCAGCGAGCCCTGGCGAGGGCTGACTGGCGCGCAATGACGCTGTATCTGAAGGAGATGTCGAGGGCGCCCGGGACGGAAGCGTCAGCGCGGGACAATTACAACCTTGCCAGGGAGCTGTTCGACATGGTGGAGCCCAGCAAGGAGCTCGTGCTTGAAAACACGCAACTTCTACGAGGAGTCGAGCCGCCGTGGAAGATCCTCTACGAAGGTGCGGTCACGTACCTGGCGTACATTCCCAAAGACAGCCCCGAGCACGACAAAGTCCAAGCAGATGTCGAGACTGCCCTCCGCGACGGGATCCAGAAGTACTCGGACCCCCGGGCCGTGGCGCCCGCCCTGCGCCAACAGCGCGTGATCCCATGGCACTCGCCCGAATGGGTCGACCTTGCGACTCAGGCGGCGGCTGCGGGCGTCCAGGACGCTGCCTTCGACCTCGCCATGTACCACCTCCGCCATGGGGGTTGGCGGCCCAGGCAAGCGGGTAAGAAGCCGACAGACTGGACGGGCATTGAATGGCTTGCCGTTAGCGCCGCCCTGTCCGCCCCAGACATACGGACGATGGTCCAATCGAGATATCTCGGCCTGGCGCACCTTCTGCGGGAGCACGGCTACCTGGCCGAGGGGTCCGCCTGGATGGAACATGCAAAAGAAAACGCCGCGGAAGCGGGTTTAGATCCGGACAAGGAATGGGAGCATTTCATCCACGACTTCGAACTAGCTTGGGCGAAGGCAGAGAGGGACGACGAGATGCAGAAGTACATCCAACACAGCGACAAGTTTTTCGCACCCTACCTGGACGGGCGGGACAAGTGAGGGTTCTAACTTTCTTGGCGTGCTTCCGAACTTTGGCCCTCAATGCCTCGACCGTCTTCTCGGAAAGGCCTTCGGGCGAGAACAAATCAGTAGATTGTGGAAAGTCTTCCAAGCCAGAGTCTAGGAGGGAATCGCAATTGCCAATCTTGACTGCGTATGTCGGAACCCACCCCCACAAGACCCGACAAACAGGTTCAGCTGAATGCTCTTGAGACGCATCGCCTCAATCATCTGCGGGAGCAAAGTGACAGGCTCGACAAGGTGGCAACATCTATCCCTAGCCGAAGAAACTGCACGTCTGAACAGCAGAGTTCGAAGCCGCGCGACTGTGGAGAACAAGGCCGTATCAGAACCCTGTCTTCTGCCGGCATAGTGCAGAAAATTCATGGCGTCCAGAGTCTGGCGATCGCCAGTATGTCCTCTTCAAAGGGATTAGAACATCTCACAGTTAACTGTTACATGGTTAGACTTCGCGTCCACAGAGCAAGTGCTACCATTCCCGGTCACCAAGGTTGTGTGCCAACCTTGATGCTCGCACATACCGAGTATTCGTGCCCTCTTCCCACATAACTGCAGATGGCATGCATGCACTTCGGATTAGCGTTGTGCGGGCGATGCACTGTCCTTTCCAATCCATGCTTCTCACCCTCAGGGCGTCTCCATGGTGGGTCGCTTTGGTGATATTGAGTATCGAATAGTACCCAGCCACGCTCTTCAAGTGGGTTTAGGCACACACCATGCAACTTGGCCTGGCAAAGACGTGTTTCGCCACAAGCAACTTGGCGGTAAACTTACCAGAGCCGACCTTGCCCCAGGTCAGCTGGGACAGCAGGTCGGTAGATGGACACAACAGACCGTGCCCAGTTCTCATCGTGCATGTCATGATATCGACGAGTTGAGATATTCTGTTCGCCCACAGAGCCTGGCAGAGAGACCAGACCATGGTGATCTGTGGCAATGGCTCGGTCCGCTGCCGTGGGCGACATGAGGGTCAAGACTTCAGACTTTAGAGCCAGTTGACCCTAGGGCCTCTGACAATGTCCCTCGCAGAGTACGGCGTAGGTGCACGTACCGGTTGGTACATACATGCAGACAAACCCCTTAGCTTGAGTTGTCAGCTGCGCTGAAAATGCGCTTATCGGCCGTCCAGCTAGACACTTGTTGTGCAGCGATGTCACCTCCTTGCCCGTGGATGGGCATCGACGTACATCGTAGGCTCTGAGGCGATCTTTCGAGGCCAAGCAGGCTCTTCGAGTGGGCCTGTTTTCCCAGTCTAGACCAAGACATTACTATGCTGGTGCACACCATGCGTGGATAGGGCCTTAGTGCTGTGATGTTGTGGGCACCTAGAGCGATACCGTTCATGTGAAGGGTACGTGTCGGAAATTGATACGCGTGACCAGTCCTGCACGTCTGACTCTTTGGTTGAACTGGCTTTGAAGCAGCTGACATCCTTGCCTCTACTGGTCACGCTGAGTGTTGACCCACGGATTTAATCACCGCGGCACTTTCTCGGGTAGTAAGGAGTTCGGGGCAGGCATTGAGGGACAGGTCGGGTGAGAAGCAAGCTCAAAGTTTCGCGAGAACTCTCTGCGCTGTTTGGAGGAACGAAGGTGTGAATCCCGGATTTCTGGATAAGTACAATGCGTGAGAACCAACGCAGATGCGGCCCCGCGGGGTGCCAAAGATGGGGACAGAATGGCGACGGTGAGCTGTTTCCACACGCCACCGGCGAGCATGATAGGTACCGGGTACCTACTGTCCAGGTCATCCGTGGCTTGCTCAGCCTTGGTGGGTGCCGCTGCACCTGATTTCTGCCATTGCCCGCCGGCGCAAGCCCGGGGCACGCCTTCTTGCTTTGCTTTACCGAAGAATGGCTTCTGCAGGCGCTAAGTTCAGCCGGTCCTGCTTTCCGACGCTTCAACAACTTGGGGACAGTCTCTGTCGCTCAGACGAGCCCCTGTCCTGCGACCCAGGATGGTGCTCCGGTGCGCCGCACCACTCCCAATAGTGGGCTGAAAAAGTGGATGTTTTCCAGGACAAGGCGAAGGATCAAAAGGACGTAGCTGCAAAGATCTGTGGTCGAGTTAGATATCACCTTTCCGCGCCATGGCTCGCCAGGCTCCTGGAGTCCTCATCGTCTTGCGAAAGAGGCTAGTTTCCAGTGGCCTTGTAGGATCTGCCTGCCAATCGTGAAGAGTCCATAATGCACGACTGATATCGGAAAGCGCAGCCCCGGAAATGAGCACCCACTACTAAATGAAGTCGGATATCGCTAGCCTGTCAGCTGGCCCAGGGTTATTTCCCTTGATTTTTCACGTAACGTCCTGCTGGACTTTTTGTTCTGGAGGGCTGAAGTGAGGAGCTCACTTTGATATGAGAATCGAAGCTGCTTGGAAGTCATCGTGACGACCCGTACCTAGCTGAAGTTTGAGATGGACAGGAACCTTGATGCTTTTTCAAGGTCTCAGGACACAAGTGTGGAGACGGCGGTAGCGCTCATATCTCGCCATATCTCGGAGTTTGTGTCTCTTTCTGCGGTTCTCCGTTCGGGGCAAGGCAACGCCCTTGGACACCCTGGGACAGCGAAGCTTTGTTTCAGCGTGCTCTGGAGCTCTGGTGCGCTCTGCAGATCGATGAGCCCCGTGGAATGCAATGTGCAGGGGACAATTGCCCATGGCCTTGGTGGGATCCGAGTAAATCCACAATCGGGGCGTCCGGCAGACTCAAATGTCAGATTTGCGAGCTGCAGTGGTGTGACTACTATTAGAATCTGATCCGACACTGGATGTGTACGGAGTACACAGGAGACCGACAGCCTTGACCGCAGACGCTGCCGATATTCTATGCATTTAAGCGACGCAACATCAACCTCCAGGTTGCGCTCTGTTCAGATGCGCCAGTGCGCTTTCGCCAGTTCGATGCTTGCATCCTGGAGTCTAGGCCTGGAGCGCCCGAAATCTAGACCGGCATGGCCATCAACAAGAGCTGAAGGCCCACACCGCTCATTGTGCACTGGCGTGCACTGGGTACACAGCAGTAACAGTCTCCGATGCCATGTGGCATGACGATAGAGACCCCTGCCGTTGGAATGCGCAGATGCACCAGTGCCTCTTCCTCCTTTCTCGCTTGCAGTCTCTTGGTTCCCGAATGGTATGCGTCTCGACTATTCGGGTCATCTGCAGGACAATTTGGATTTGGATCCGGTCCGTGATCGATACCCGGCACACTGGAACAATCCGATAATCCCGCACCTGCATGTCACACTCATCAGAACTTTGGGTCGAACAGAGCAATAACTGGATGCGGGTATCCAAAATATCAATGTCGGTGCCGCCTTCCCGGCATCCCTGTTCCCCATGAGATCAGAAACCCCCGTTCCACGCGAGTCGTTAGATCCCGTACTGGGTACATCTCGTTGCAAGACTCGGCGCGGCGGACTAAGCAGGCCTCGTACAGATCGCACCAACACCATTCGCGCACTGATGCTGTATCCTTCTGCCGCGCATCGGAGATTGCCAGGCACAAAATCATGTGATCTCAGGAATCATCGACAGAAGCCTCGCTTCGATATCTCGTGTGGTCATCGCGTTCTTCACAGGGAGTTCCTACTTGAGCCCCTGATCGGCGAAGCTCGCGGGCAACGCCCAACGCACAGAACTGAGCTGTGATGCCGTAGGACCACGAGCACAACCACCGCAGATTCCGAGACGCGTCATGTGGGTTGCATGCAGCGCAGTTCAGGCGGAGTACCTGTAGCTACCCGTTATTGCACGTCGGTATGAAAGAGATGGAGTTCATATCTTGGGCTTTGTTGGGTGAGCGTCGTATCTTGGGATCTTCAACCACTTGCCAACCTGTGACATCCGTCTCGCTGTCTGTCAAAAATAACCTGTTGCACGCAAGACTCAAGGTCGCTCAGTAGTAAACTGTATCATGATCTCCTGATTCATCATCTTCGGATCCTCCAGATCCTCCTTGCGATTGTCGTCTCCTCCGGCCCTCTCTCGTGCCTTTCTTCAGCTTCAATGGGAACCCTGCGCCTGAAGAAAGAAGACCTCTCACGAGAGGGGTGCTAGGATGCACCTGGTCAAAATCCTTTGCGTTAACAGCTCGGAACATGTCGCTTACAACCACGTCAATGAAGGGGAGACGAGATCCGGGCTTCAGCGCGTCACTTCCCATCTTCATCAGCGTGAATAGCAGCCGGTATTCTCCAGCCTTGCGGAGGGATATATCGGCGAATATGAAGAATGTACCTGGAATCTCGTGTGGCAGTCTCTTACTAGCTGTAGAGCCCTGCAGAAACCTGGCAGTCGGACTGGGCGGTCTCGTAACCGGGTGCGCTGGCATCGTTGGGGGGTCTGGATCAGTCTGAGTATGGTGCGGGCCTGCCACGGTCGTCCCCAACAATAGTCGCTGCACTTCTCGCCTGCCACTTTCGTTGTAGCGAGACTGCGTACTCACGTCGGTCCCGGGGGAGTAGCCTCCCACCAGCTTGCAATGCACGACCCAGAACGGAGATTGGGTCTCTGCCACATCCTCCGGACAATCGGGATCGAAGTCAGCGATCAAGAGCTGGAGAATAGGTGGTGGATCGATGGCCCTTCTCGCGAATCAGAATTGAAGGAGACCGCAGCGTCCGGGAGAGTTACCTTCTATCTTTCCCATCTGGGCCTGCTCGGACTGCTCTAGGTTGCTGTCTGATGTGCAGGCTAATACGACTTGGGTCAATGCCCCGTACGGGAGGAAGGGAGGAAACCATCGTTTCAGGGGTCGTTTGCATGGCGGCGGCGGCATCTTGCGGTGGACTGCCAGTGCTCAGGTCATGATTCTGCGGTCGTTCATAGAATCCGCTGATGGAACTTCCAAGCGGGGAAGTCTCGTATGACGGCCTAAAACATGTCAGTGGCACCAATGGCCAAGGGATCTGTTGATACCTTCTATATGAGGGTTCCCTTGCGATGGGGCTCTGGCCTGCGGTGCTCTGTATGGACCGCTGCGACAAAGGTGACCTCACCGCTTCGTCTTCAGCTGTGTGATCTGTCGGAGGGCGAGGGTGGGGCGGGATGGACAAGGAAGGTAGCGTTGAGGTTGGCCATGCTGGTGAAGGCTGAGATGGAAATGCGGCACCGGCGGGCACGGAAGAGTGGTATTGACCAAATGTATTGACCGTACTGACTGGAGTCGGCCGTTGATCTTGATTGGATTGCATTGCCCTTCTTTCAGACTCTGGGGAGGTCAACGAGAAATAGCGAGCGTGACGTTGACCACCATGAATATGAGCGGCGGCAAAAGACGAGCTTTGAATAGCTGCGGTCATTGTGGCATGGGAAAACGGCTTGCTAGGGTCTTGACGATGACCGGGTGTAGGATGGGATACTCTGATGTGGACTCAATAGTCAGTCTCTCGGGTTTAGATCGAGAAACTTCTCGATGGCCACTACTTGGCACCATTAACGGCATTTGGTGAGGGGCGGGCTGGCGCAATTCCAGACCAGGATAACTGACGCAACAAGGTTGACATCTGAAGAAAGGGTGGGTGACGATGGGATGGATCGATAGATTGGCGTGGCGAAGGCCCGAGAAAGCGTGCACCGAAATTCGGAAGAGGAACAAGAACATGAAAAGAGCAAGGTGTGCAAGACCAGGACCGGCGGACTTTTTGCGGACCGGGATGCACGTAAGAGTTTGTGGTGGTGCAGTAGTGTTTGCCAAATGCCCAGTGTACTAATCTGCGACCCGCCCAGGCTGGCACACAAAAGTGTAGCCAGTCGCAGATTTCTCGATAGCTGCAGGGTATCAAGGCGTGGAAGCGCGCCATGTTGGCTGTGAGCTGGGGACCGCGTCCCCCGAAGACGGGACGATCACGACTGCAGTGTCAACGGACGTGAGCCTGGAATTACTTGGGACGTGCTGTCAAGGTTGGCAGCTCGACCAGAGCATTGGTGACGGCTGTGATGGGCTCAAGCGGCCACGATAGATTAGGTCGCTTCAGTCGCCGTACCCTGGCCAGGACCTGAGCTATCCAGCTTTCCGGACCCTGCAAGAGGGAGCCGTTAGTAGCCAAATCCAAAAATGAGTGCGCAGCTCTCGGTTTTGCGTGCATAACAGAGCTGAGGGTTAGACGAGCACACTGTGCCAAAGGAGAGGTCGAAAGTGGAGGTCAAAACGAGAGGCAAAAGGCCTGTCCTGCACTAAGAGCCCGGCCGAGAAACGCTTTGAGCATGCTGCGTAACCGAAGGGGACTAAGACATGGCGATTGATCTAGGACCGTGATACGAAAGATCAGAGAGCGAGCAACGAGCCAGGATTGGGGCCGCAACTCAAAAGATGAGGTCAAGAGGCATGGATACGGCACGAAGCTTGTACTCCATATAGGGAAAGGTGAGGTGAGAGTGAAAGTGAGGTGAAGGTGAGGTGGAAGTGACGGATCGGAGAACTGTGATCCACGCAACCACGACCAGCAAATCGCAGTCTCGGTATCCTTCCCGGATCCTGGAGCGACTGGTCTCAATGCTGGTCATTTTCTCACAGCCCATTAATTAACCCTCATGTCTGTGGCGACATGACATTCTTTCGACTATGTTGAACCGCGGCTGGCGCGGCACGGGAATTGACATTGTACGCGTACTCTAACATTGCAATGTTGAACGGTACAGTACCCAAGCCCAGGGCTCAACACCCGAACACGGCTTGCATTGGCCTCGCACGACGTCTGCGTACTGGCACAACCCATGGACTATTTTCAGACTCAAGCTTCCATGGCTGGCCTCTCTTCCGGATTCTGACAAGAAGTACGGAGCACACTATCTGGATCCCACTCCTTGGTAATTATGCACAGCTAATTGCAAGGTTCAAGCATCTCGACGACAATCCTGGCCGAGGTCTTGGACAAACCATCGTGGTGATGGGAATTCTCAACCAGCACCCAGTGACATGCGGTTCAGCGCCCAAGTCCAGACTGTTGAATATCCGCATGGACAATAAGGTGGGACTGAGTGCAAGAAGGGCAGTGATCGGCGAATACCCTATCACTTCTCCGGCGTAGGTTTTCGATGGCTTCGTGAGAGCACGTCTTCAGCTTTAACAGATGTCCCATTAAGATGGCGCCGAGGTAACGCGATCTATCGTGTCGTCTGACGGGTGATTTAAATCTGATTTATTTGCTCATGGCCAGGCCCTCAATAGCCCTAGTACGATACCACGAGCTCTGCTGGAAGCCGGGATATCATCCTGCTGATGTGCAAACACTGCGGCTGGTCAGATCTCGTTGGGTTAACGAGACGCGATGCGACGGGGCCGCTCGGATTCGGCACGCATGCGCGTCCTCGCTGATTTCCGGCAGTGAATGGCATCTGAGATCCTGAACTCTCACCGACCGAGGCCTCGCCCATCAATCAACATCCTCAAACTCACGTACTCCGTACATAGAAACGAATGCAGCCGTGCTGAAGAGCCGGAGCTGCGGGGAACATCCGCGGTGGACATCGCTGGGGGGCGATGGTGCTACATATTAAGCGCTGATGCAGGCTAGGTAGGCGTACCTATTGGTGCCCTAGCTCCTGCATGAGCACGTCTATCACGTCGACGCATCTCAGCGGCACAGGAAGAGCCATCTGCCGCCTGCCGGCCTCCAAGCCAAGATATCAACAATTAACCAAACTTTCCCAGGGGTGGTCATACACTGTTATGCCACGGTGGTCGATGCTCACCACGAGCAACCCCGAATACCGCAGAGTGGCAGACCAACCCCCAGAAATCGGGTGTTGTGCTGTAACTTAATCTCACCCAGTCATCGACTCAACGATCAGATGGCCGGCAACTATGGAGCAACGCATTCACTATCCTGCTTCGAAGGAGGGGCTTGCGGGAACGCAACAACGCAGACGCCGCTGAATCGAGACGTCAATATCCACACCCGTTTATGCGTTTATGTATCAGGACCCCTGGTCAGCTCTGGGGGCTCCACGTCCCCGTGAGGTGCTCTTCGTCGACTCGACGCCACCGGCGGGCGTAGTGGCCTTCGCCAATTCCATGGTGCGGGATTGGCAATCAGCTTTCCCATGTTTACCTTTCCCATGTTGTGATGATAAGCGAGCAGCTTTCCCATGTTGTGATTATTGACATGCATCCTTCCCAGAGAGAGCAACATTGGTCTTACCAGAAGCAGTTCAACCCCTTGTCGAATACGTATTGCGCTTCGGTACCGTTACGTATGCCACCAGGACCTCGACCATTGCCGCGTGGAGTGGGCATAGGAGAGAGCAAGGTCAGAACTGTCCCTCGAGTACTCCATATGTCCATCCACTCTACTCCTAGCCCTCCAGACCAACACTTACACAGCCTCATAATACTGAGTCCATGGCAGCATCGAGAGCGGGATTTTGGCTGCTTTAGCTTTCGCTTCCACTTGCTCATTGCGGGCACTCTCCGTCCCCGTCTGCCCTGCCGTGCTGTGCCAGAATGCTGGCCTCTCGTACTGTACTTAATGGGCCATGTACGGAGTAGACGCGTCGCAAACCTACTCTATTCGCCACCTTTCCACCGCCTATTTAACTGAGTGCGCAGTGCTGGCTCCATCCTCCATCGACCATCCGTGGCTTGCTCCTCATTGTGACATTTGCCCTGGCGATCAGGGGGCATCACTTACACAGTACTTCTCAACGCTCGGACCACGGCACGAGGATCCTTGCCAGACATGACACGTGTCCAAGGTCCAGTCGCCAGGAAGGCGACCTTGCTCTCAATCAACACGGCACACAGCACCAGAACAAGATTCGAATGGAAAGACACGAATAGTCAGCTCCACTTCCGCATGGGCGCTATCACTCAGTTGGCTCGCCCTTCCACTCTGCACGACGGCCATGGCTTTACTTAGACGAGTACGACAGGACGCCTTTTCCCCGACCGTTGCTCGCAATAGCTTGGTTTCCGCCTCGGGTGAAGTTGAGACCTATATCTGGTTTGACAGCCTGAATAGCGGAATTTATTAGCTTCTGCTCGACGAAGGTGTTAACCCTCGAATGCCAATCTGCGACTTACTCGACCAAATTCCCGTCCGGATCCCTGACATAGACACTCCGCAACTTTCCCTGTGCCCCTGTCCTCTCAACAACCTTCCCGCCCTCGAGGACGTTGATCCCGAATTTCTGCAGGGATCTAAGCACATCATCGACATTGTCCTCCACCAGGAAGCACAAATCGCCACTCCCGGGCTGTACATTCTGCGCTTTCGGCTCGAATTCCTTGCCGCTCTGGTGTAAGTTGATCTTTTGCGAGCCGAACTTCAATGCGTGGCGGGTGATGGTAGGATCAGTAGGTGCCGCGAATGAGGTGTGCTGCATGCCTAAGACCTCTCGGTAGAACCGGATCGTCGCGTCAATGTCCTTGACAGTGAGGACGAAATGGTCCAGTGACTTAGCTGTGCATATGGAAGCCATGGCTGCACGATTCTTCTAACTTGGTTCCAAGTATTTCTCGTCGATAATTGATGCCAGGTGCCACGGAGAAGGACAGCCCTCTGGGGTGATGGACAGTCCTGACTGTACAAGTAGCTTCCGCCGTTCGGTAGATCAGCGCGCGATATCGGGTGGGATATATACGCCGTGGCCGACACACGAGCTGTCGACCATTTACATCGATGCCCTCATCCTTACGTCGACTGCTTCTCCAACTGCTTCGCCAATCGACTCCAGATCCGGTGGTACGGCGACGGAGGATCGCCGGCGAATCGGCGAACCCTAACTCTGTCCATACTGGCAGTCGAGAAGGGGATGGTCTAGACTATAGAACGTGTTCTAGTGTTACACCTCAGATGAGCTGGCACTCAACACCCAAGGGTGGGAAGGCACTTCTGTCACGTAACGACAAGCAGCGACACATCGCTGCTCCCGGAAATCCACAGTGCTACCAACTCAATGTCCTTGAAGGCAAACCGAACAGACTCCTGATCGGAAGGCACATTCGTGGGGAATATCAGCTGCCGGCCCTGACTGTCTGGGTGTCAGAGGGCGACGGTATCATTGCAGATGTGGCATGCGTCGAAACAGCGGAACACGAGGTCATGTTGTTCATTTGTAGATATGCAACTTGACGCGGCGGCACAAGGACGAAGGTGGCCGCTGGATAGATCAGAAGAGATAGTTCAGATCTTTTTCTTGCGAACTGCTGGAACTGACAGCACCCCCGAGCGAGGAGATGAGGGGCATCGAGAGGACTGAGTGAGGTTGGCCTTGACTTCTGAGAAGACCATCAACAATCCCTGAGCACCCCGTACAGAGTACTCGTACCTGATGATCGATTGTCAGTGTTGGAAATGGAAAGGACCTGGCTACTTGTACTTGAGCTTGCTACCTCGGCAAGGTGACCGCCCAGCGGGCACGTTAGTTAGGCGCCACGTAGTGCAACAATTTAGGTGGGTGCGAGTTAGCAGGTGCCTAGTGGGTGCCTAGTGGTGCTTAGTGGGTACCTAGTGCATGCGGAGCGCGTCAGCCCAGCGATTAGATAAGATCACAAAGTTTCAGACAATGAAATTTCCACCTCAACTCCCAAGGTTGTGCTTCTGTAGTCTCTACGAAGTATCTCTCCGACACAATGGTGACAACGCGCCTGGGAAGTCGAATAGACGCCTCTTCGCCGCAGTCAGCCAACAAACGCCGGCGGTTCAGTAGCGTAGAGGCTGATGATCACATTGTGGTTGAAGTGCCCGTCCACGAGCCGAAGGCTGTCAAAGAACGAGAAATATCAGGTGAACTCGTCCCTGGCCACGAGTCGGACGAGGATGCAGCACCTGAAATCCTTAGCAGCCGAGATGCTGCTCGACAAGCTCGAGAGCTGCCCAACCGCTCTCTTCGGCACGCAGGCAATAAGCGAAGGAGGGATGCAGAGGGGCACTTGCCTGTTGGGAAGCCAGAATTAACGCCTTCCATTCCTGGAGAGTCGAAACCTGAAAATGCCACCATGTCAGGCGCAGCGTCTTTGCAACCTGATGCAATGCTTACCCAGAACGAAGCGTCGTTGACTGGGATTCTGCAACCTCTAGCCGAAGAAACCAGGCCGCTGAACACGATAAATTCGGAGCACGGGGTATCAAACGTCGACGCCGCACGAATTCCAGTCGAAGGAACGGAAAACACTGCCGTCCTGGATGATCGGAAGTCTGAGACCGCTCAATTTTTGCCCAACATGGCAAAGAATGCGGGTGGCGACGAAGCTCCCACCCCTGCACCTGAGCTCGCTGCGGAAGGCAAGACGGCCCTTGTTACCAATGAACCCGAAGACCCCTTGGATAGTGTCCCCCAGATGCGGTCTCTCGGAGAAGTAACTCCCAGGGCCGGGGACGAGGTACTGGAGAACACACCAATGAACGAACCTCAGTCGGCTGTTGAACCCGATCGATCTCTCCCTGGCGATTCGACAACCCAGCTGAGAGTCGAGGCCCTGCTGCAACATTCAAAAGACAAAGCAGTGTCTCAACCTGCTGGACACAACCCGACACTGTCTATGCCAGAAGCGGACATGCAAACCGTTAGGACGACATCGACGCGAGAAGATCAAATCCTTGGAACTCCTCGAAGCAGTAACAGCAGTGTGATCACCCCCGTGTGGCGGACGCGGGCTTACGACGAGACACCCCTCACAGCAGTCCAGTCTCCGTCACTAGCCCCGGCGGTCAAGGCTACCCATGCCCGCTCGAACATCCTTCCTCGCCCCCAAGATCTCATCTCTAGGAGACCAAAATCGACTTCCTTACAACAATACCGAGACCGGTTGCTGAACCGGCATCAACGCACGACGAACTGGGGCCCGCCGGGCTCTCGGAAGACGAAGTTTGTTGGTGCCTAAATATCTGCCCGCTCTGCTCATGCGCTACTCGACACTACTGTAGCGTTCTGCATTGAGCCGCACCCCAGCAAAGTCAATTTCCACCTGACGGCCTGGTTTTGAAGGACTCGGGATTTGCGATGATCTGGGTATGGGCCTTTCATCCAGCACGTACTGTCTAGACCCGTACCGCCAGAGCGATCATCGACCATGATACATTCTGCATCCAATTTCCGCCCTACAGCCACCTCGTACTGGTCCTGCAGCAGGACGCCCTCGCGAATCTCATCGCCCTTTCAAGCGACGTGCAGGCCTCCCCCGTCAATAGAAAGTGTACACTAAAGCTGAACATTGCCGATCGCTCTCTCTCCCTCTTGCTTCCGCACTTGGGCAGCAATCTAGGACAACACACAACCCATGGCTTTGCATCTGTATTGATTTCATGTCAAACTCACTCACTTGCCGACTGTGTCGATCCATCGCGGACCAGAGCGATCCCTGATGATCCCGGAGATCGGCGGATGCCACGAGCCCCAATCGCCACACCAAGCCCACACACCGCATGGAACTCAGGATCACCATCCATGATCTGGAGAAAACAGCCGCCTGCTCCGGTACTGGTACATTCATGCATATGCGCCCACGCACACATGCCTCAACTTGGCTCTTGAGTGTCTGTACGCCCGAACCTAAACCGAAATGTACGAGCGCGCCAACGTGCACCCACGTAGCAGACCGAGCCTCAGACGAGGTAATTAGGTAGAGCAACAAGAATCGAGATCGTCGGTCGGGCAGCAATGGTGAAACAGTCTCAGACTCAAGACTCCGGCTCCGGCTCAGTCCTCGTCCGTGACCCGCCCGCTGAGATGCATATCGACAGTACTCCAGGTTCTTAGGCATGAGTACTCGTAACTCGTACAGTAGTAAAGACGTGGCTCGGGAAATAAATTCCAGCTCCACTCCGTGGTGACCCTGGCATCCTCCGCCATTCGTACGTGTACTGAGTCTGAGATGGAGGTCTGATTGATACCCAAGTCTGAGCTTCAGGTCGTGCTACAGTAGGTGAATGTTCAGACTTCGAAAACGCCCTCATTTGGCTGCGATACTACACATTAGATACGATAAATAAGAGGGCCATCTGCTCTACTCTGCTCTAGTTCTTTTCTTCTCTACTTGGGAGACACGTGCACGCGGTATCATTTTCCTGCAGGTTGCGTGGTTCTGATAATCTAAAGTCCAAGGCACGAAGTCCAAAGGCACGAAGTCCAAGGCACAATGGCAACTGCAGACTACAAGACAAGACATACTGCATATCAAGGACCTGCCGTTTGTGGATGCGTGGGCATTGTAACGCTGTTCAGTCTCATTAATGTCGTGATTTCGTATACATGCCATAACCGAAACTGCTGTAATTAATTAGATCCAGCACAATAAGTACGTAAACTGGTCCATGTCCTCGCGGCGTTCCAAAATCAAAAGGGGTATCCTTCGCTCTTTGCATTGTACACAACGTCACATAACTTTGCTCCAACCGTCCTCCCATCTCGGCATGGCGGCTCTCGTGATCAGTAACTATACCGCCAGTAAAGCGGTGTGTCGGGCGTGCCGCGTTTTTCAAACAGCACCATCCCGCCCAGTGACAGCGCGAAACGCTAGGACCTCGATCCTCTTGGCGTAAAGATCCATGGAATGAACCAGAGGGTCCCCAAAGATGACCTGGCGGAGTTGCTCGTCCTTGACCAACGAGGCCGTGACGTCAGACTCTTTTGCGCCCAGTTCACGCGGAGGGACACGCAACACGACCAGACGGCCCGCGTTGGACAATGTCGCGGGCGGGACGTCCCACCATAGTCTCCCCAGCGGGATGACTGCACGTTTCGGTCTCGGGGGTTTGGGTATCTTCATGGCGGGCGTGAGAGAGAGGTCCAGCCGGGACATCGATGCGCCCAGTGAAGCGAGCGCCGAGAGGGATGGGTTTGGGTTTGACTTTGGGGGTTTCTGCACGGTCGCCACAGAGGACGGGACGGGTTGAGAGAGCAGGTCTACCAGACTCTTCACGTAGGCTCTCTCGGCGCGTACGACGGGGTCGCCCTCGTTGATGAACGAGTGGAACAGGCATTTGCGCAGTCTTCCATCCGCGGTCTCGGGTTTTTGGAGCGGGAGAAGGCTGATGGGTGGGGCGCCGAACGTGACGCAATGAACTCTCTTAAAGCATCCCGTCAGGATGTTCAGGTCGGACTGCACCGTCGTGGAGAGCATGTGCGCGTAGAGCAGACTCGCCACGGCGCCCCCGGCCGAATGGCCCGTGATGAGCAACGAGCAGCTTGCTCGCGACGGGTTTTCTTCCAGCAGATGCCGCAGCCGCGCCGCGATGGGCCTTACCATTGCTTTTGCGACGCGCAGGAATCCCGAATGGCAGAGGTTGCCTTGATCATCGAGGAAGCCGGCGGGAGAGACGGGTTCGGTGTCCAGGTTGACGCCCCAGTCACGGATGCTGAACATACTCGTGCCTCGAATCGCAAATACGATGGTCTTCTTATCGTCGCACGGGACCGACTTAATCACCATCGCCTTGGTGCCCATCCGGCCGTCGGCTGAGACAAAGTCTTTCCGTTCTGCCGAGGATTGAGGCGAGATGTAGGCGCAATTGGAATACTGTGCTGCGAGGCAGAGAAGCGGCCACGTCGGCATATAGACGCGAAACGGTTGCAAGGAGGCAGGGAGTCTCGAGTTCATGTACAGATCGAGTTTCGTGAAGACGTTGAGCTGCTTCTCTTGGCCCTGTTGCTTCTGTCGTATCTGCTGCCTCTCCGGGGCTCCAAATGCCCTGGTGAGCTCGCGGGTCTCTGTGTATCCTGGAGCGGGCGGATTTTCCATTGTTATCATCAGCTCTCTTTCTGAGCCTGAGAATGCGTCCTCGTCGATAAGAGACAGAACGTCTCCCAGTTTGTCGTCGATTCTGTCCCGCAATGGCATTATCGGTCTCGGAGGGACAAGATTGACCGTGCTCGATTGAGGGCATGCCCATGTATGTTGAGCCCGCAATGGCTGCGCTGCGTAGCCCGCCTGGACATGAGGCATCGGCGGTAAGCTCACTGTTGAGGTCATGTAGGGCCGTGGGGTTGGAGGAAGGTATGGACCAGGCTGCGGAGTCCACTGCGGTTGAGGCTCTGAATAGATCGGTGTGCTGTTACTGAGGGCATAGGGTGGCGGGTTAGGAGGGTAGACGGGATTGACTGCGGTTTCGGCGAACTTGCGACGTTTGCGGGGGGTGGTAAAGAAGGGCATATTGTGGCCGTCGCTGAGATCAACGTCGCCACCAGCAATGGAGTGGGCGACGAGGCGGGGAGGCTGCGCTGCGGCGTTATTGCTTCGGCTACTTGAAGGGTATCGTTATATCCGGTCCTGAAGCACTTACAGATCGGATCATTCTGGAGATGAGGACGAGTTACCTAACTACCTCCCCGCCCTCATCGTCAGCCTCGCTGCCGTGCCCTCCAGTCTGTGTTACTCGAGGTTGTGTCGCTTGCTTCTCGGATGCGTCGGGGTCCCGCGCTTGCGCCACGATCAATATCCAATCACGAAGCGGCAATGAAAGGTTCCAAGAAGCGCAAGAAGATCATTGACAGAAAGGTGAGAAGCAGAGCCGCTGATAAGCAGACGCCTTTCCGATTGTCGTACCACGCGCTCGCATTTGGCAAGGAATCATAACGAGTTGGTCAAGGTTTGCAGATCGCAGGAGACGATGATGCCACTGCCGGGCCTACCACAGTAGTTGTCGCCTCGCCCCTGTCGATAGTTGGGGCTTGGCCCAGTCTCTTTACGAGGTAGCATACGAGTGCCCCGTGGCCTCAGCCTTGCATGAGAAGGATGTGTGGTAGGTGCCAACGTTGATGGTGGGAGCATACAACCAGGAATCAGCGCTTCAGATCCACGGCTTTCCGCTACGTAGACCCGGCGCACTTTGGGAAGACAGGTGGCGACTGCCTTTGTGTATGGGTATCCAGAGAATGCCAGCTGGTCCGATAGTGAAAGAGTCACGAATCGTTAGCCTCTATCCTCTGTCCTTCGAGCCAGCATTTATCGGAGCTGCAAAGGTCCTTTGGCTGCGAATCTTCTTGTACGACGTAGCGCTGCCTGTGACGGTATTGCATGACGAGCAGCTACAACCCTTCAGCAGCGCTCCTGCAAGAGGTCTTGGATTGCACCGGAACACGTTTCTGCACGGACGAAGAGCTGCAAAGCCTATTTGTGACGGCATGCGGTTATCGAAAGGAAAGACCATGTCAAGATGTGAATTCAACGACAGCAGTCCTCTTTGATATCGGAGACTGAACGAAGCAACCTTCGGCATCGCGAGGACTCCATCGTGCAGATCGAAGTGGTCATCAGGGCTCCGTTCGTAGTATGCTCTGAAGCTCTCTACGCTGGACTCCGGGTCGATTGACACCAGAAGAATGCTGGACCCATCGCATTTCTTCGGTGCGGCGCTGGCGACATCAGCTGTGACTTGAGAGCAGGACCGCTCACGCAGATGTCAACCGAAGGATAACTCAGGTTCGCATATCCTCCACCCGCAGGTCGATCATCGATGATGGCATCTGCAGTTCGGGGAGTTTCAGGCAGCCCGGGGATGGACTCTCGTCCAGCAGCCGGCCAAAGAGGATCACGAAGACACCAAATGCTCTTTGACCTTGTCATGGTTTCCTGCTTCGATGGTCCGTTTGACATTTCCGGTGATGCAAGTCGCACGGATCTCATGTGGATCTCGAGTGGAGCGGCCATACAGTAGACGACATACGAGCTGGAAGCTGTGCCGCTGTCATTCCTCAATGACATGAACCACAGCAAGGTGCCGCTGAACTGCAACTCTAATCCAGGTGCTGGAAACTCACGATAAGGAAGTGCGGCGTCGCACCCCGCCTCCTCAGACGGCTATTGTTCTTTGATGTGTCTCTAACCCAGGCCAATTTGTCCACCATCTTTGTAAGATTGCGTTGTTGTGGCGGGTCCACGGTCAACAGGAGCAGGAGGCAAGAATTGTCAGCTGCACTGAGAGAGGGAGCCGCTTTCTGTCTCTCAGAGCGTCAGTGGTTCGTGGGTTGCAGTGCCCTGGTAGAAGAGTCATCCACCAATCAGACCGCAGAAGTCTCTTGTATGTGAAAGGCACGTCGCTGCTGGTAGCGTTTTATTTGGTTTAGACACAAAGTCCTGAGAGGAACCCGTCATAATGGTGGGCAGATTCCCGAGAGAGAATCCGTACGGGTTTCAAGCCGTATGGACAGGCTCATGAGTAAGCACGCAGTGTGGTGTTTGGTAATAGAGTGCTGAGCTTACGACTGAAGCATGGGACCTGGAAGACATGGCAGCGTGCACCTGATCGAGTGGTCAGGTGATGTGGGAAATTTGGAACAGAAACTCGATATCCACGTACTACCTTGCCTAATCCACAGTGGTGCCAGTAGGGTATTATCCTCAATGGTGATAGTGCTGGGTCTGCGTCCCATCAAGGATCGGCGACAAGGATGTCTACACGTGGTTCGGGAATGGTCTCCCTACAGTTTGCAGCTCTTCGAGTTGTCCGTCGAAGATGGGCCAAAGTACGAGTACTCCGTAGATGATACTAAGCTTCCGATATTGACAGCATCAGACCGATGATGTGTGTTGTATGAACCAAGAGTAGTCGGCGAGGTCGGAGACAAGCGCTCGTCCACGCCGCGATCAGTTGATCGTTGATCGTTGATCGCTGATCTGGACTCGATTCTTTTCCTTGTCTGGTCGGCGGACCAACTATCCGGTAGCATGTTCCCACTCGGTTGAGCTGCGTGTGAGCTGCCTGTGACCATGGGCGCATTTTCGTCGACCACGTCGAGAATTTCCTTGTCCAAGTCCATGACTGTCCTGCTGGGCTGCGCGATTGCCGCTTGCGATCTACAGTGCTGGAAAACCTGTCATTCCTTTGCTCCTCCGGACAGCCTTCAAACACGCTGCGAAAAGCAAGTCTCGCAGGAGCTCGTCAACCCACGCAAGGTTCCGGCCAAAGTTTGACGGCCGCGCCATGTCTGAATTCTCGGTGGACCACGCCCTCTCTTATTCATAGACCCCGTCCAATCGGTCTCAGCAGATCTCTCTTAGTAATCTTGGATCACTGCGCACTGGACAGCTTCGGGATTGGCAGTGAGCAGGAGATTCGCCTGCCCCTGAAGAACCACGGAACCAATGCGTGATGCTGCCGTGGTCTCGCGAATCGTCTTCACCTCCTGGGAGCTGATGTGGACGGAGGGACACTAGGCTAGAGTTTCACCTCAGCGTGGGCTACGCCTGTGTCTCGATGGATGCAGCCAGCGGTCACGCTTGCATTTCGTCCCCCCAGATCGAAGAACGACGCTGCAATCTGACTTCACCATCTTTCCTCCGGCGCGCGACCCTCTTGATGGAATTCCTGTTTCGCGGGACTGATCCCGCAAAATGCATGGTCCACGGGGGCGTCCTGTCCGCATCTACGATCGCCCTCACTTCGCAGCGTGTTCAGCACTCCCTCGCCAATCAGCGGGGGCGTCACACCTTCTCGATTTGAGGAAAGTCCGCACAGGATGACTTCGGCTAATGCCGTCGAGAGACCCGACGCCCATCGGGCACTTCGCGTCTGTGCACAATCCGTCGACAGCACTGGATTTATATAATTGCCACCGTCAACGTCGGGCTCTGCGAAGCCTGTTCATAAAGTCCACGAGCATATCCCGCAGAGCCAAGATTCTCCAAAATGAACACGAGTTTGTCCTATTATCCCCAACTGCAGGCTCGCACGTACAACTACAGATTCAACCAAGATGTCAAAGAACCGGAAACCCACAGTATACCTGTTTGTGAACAAGGATAGCGCCTCTCTTTCTCTCTCGAGAAGTCATGGCAGAGACGCCTCAGCCATCCTCAGCCATGTCCAGTCATGTCGAAACCAGAAGAACAAGCGACTGCACATGTTCCGCGTGGACGACGGCGTGCCAGAGCCACCCGCGAAACGGCCAAGCTCACGGCCGCCTCGACTTTCTCCCCAAAGTATCGTCTCGTCCCGGCAGAGCTCACCGCGGCCACCACCATCTCCCTGGACGGAGACGTCGTCAAGCAGCAGCCCGTCTGTCTCTCCGAGCCCGCTCAGCAGCAGCATAGACTCTGCAAGTCCCCGACCGCTCAGAACGGAAACACCCGACGTCGATGAGCTGGTGGACTACTATCACTCGGTCTGTCTGACATCGGACCATCAATCGGGCACCCCTCTGCATCGTCATGATCTCTACCAGCAGATTGTCACTTCCGACGATTTCCAGAACTTTTCTCGGCGGATTGCTGGAGGTATCAACGGATACGCCATGCTTGCCTGCACCGCGGCGAGAATGGCCATCGACACGCCGAGTCGGCGGGAGGAATTCGAGATCAAAGCGACCCGGTATATGCAACCGTCCCTGCAGTGGCTACGAGAACAGCTTGCGGATCCCCAGGCGAGAGTATTCAGTGACCGCCAGATCCTGCAAGAGATGCTCCTCCACTGCGTGACCAACTGGTACCTCGGCGAATTTGCGGCTGCCCAGACACATCTGAAGGCGATGGGCTGCTTTACTGCGTCTCTTGACCTGTCGAAGAGCTCGGACAGAAACTTGATGGATATCATCAATCGCTGTGGTCTGTATATTACCAACCAGAGAAGGCCCGAACACCTTCCACTTCGGGGTCCGGAATGAAATCAATGCACGGCCGCTGACCGGGTTTTACCGCGGGTCGTCTAGCCGGCTTGCGGGATCCGCATTGTGGGAACCTCTCCGGCACGAATCGCGATTTTCAGGATTCAATACACGGGGCTAAGGTAGTATCGAGGCGTCCCTAAACAAAGGACCAGTAGAGGGGAGCGAGACGCCGATTCCATGGTACGAGTACTGGGTAATACACGTCGTTATGAATGGGTCTCACTAACACCAATATAGAAGCTCTGGCCTCCAATCGCATCGCGTGACCCGTCGATGGATCTGCAACGATCTCGCTCTGCTAAGAGATCGATCAACAGTGCACATGTTTCGAGAACTGTCGGGTGGAGCGCCGCGCGACTAGCTCATTCGGAAGAAAGCCAACCTCCCAAGGAAAACCGAGTCGAGGCCCAAGCACGGAGTGACCCACGTTCGACATTTCAACCGACCCACCATACACCATAGCAGTTACCCAGTACTGGGTACGTTGCCAGGGGTGCGGGCCGCCTTCCTCCCTTCTCGCACTGGTGCCACCATCCTATGCTCCCGGGACCGTTGCAGCCTTGAGACATCTCCATGCTGTTCATCTGTCCACCATCGACGATTCATTGGCTCGTTCCCAATATATCCACCCTCCCCTCCAGCTTGGCCACGCAAGCATGATTCCAAGCGAGGAGCGCGCCTCAGACCTTGGACGATGCCACGGCACTCTCGACCTGAAGGGCACCAAGCTTGTCTCCCATCACTGCCGACTCGGTCGCAACGTCGTTCTCGTCCAACAGCACCACCTTGTCTCCGAACGCGGCGGCAATCTCTTCGAGCGTCTTCTTCTTTGTTTCTCTGAGAAGCAGAACGGAATTAGTCAAAGACGAAATGTGTTCGTGACTGGGGCACACGACGGACAGAGTTCAAGGGAAGGGACCATGACTCACGGGAAGAAAAAGTATGCGAGGATGAGGAAGAAGAACGAGCACGCCACGAAGACGTAGTAATAGTTCTGTATTGTACACCAGTCAGCCCCAGTCAGTCAGTCGGTAGGTCGGGTCAGTCAGTCAGACAGACAAAGGTCAGCGCCCGGGCCGGAGTGCAACATGTGACTCTCGCCAGTGCCGATACCTTGCCTGTCTCCCCTCAACTTGCACTTACCTCATGAATGTTGGCAAATGCCGATGGGCCCGCCTCGGTGACTACAAAGAAACGTAAAGAGTAGAACGTCAGTCCCATCGGTTCTGAACCAGGCCCCCCTCAGTTGCTTTAATCACAGTACATCCGTTCGCGCGCGTGCACAGTAACAAGAAAGCAAGTGACTTACTCCCCACATTCACAATAAAGTGACTCGCAGCAGCTAGGCCCATGACCTTGGACCGCAAGTTGATGGGCAGGACTTCGGCGCCATAGAGCCACGTCGTCGAGTTGAGCATGCCGTCTAAGGTACAAGGTCGGGTGGTTAGCGTCAAGTCCACATGGGTTCTCTGCTTGATTGGCAGGCAGGTAGGCAGGCATCCGCCTAAAATAGATTGGTCGATAGGAGGGGAAAGGTAGGTAATTATGCAGGTAATGAAAACTCCCAAGGAGGTCATCGGCTGGTGGGCGCACTCACAATAAGCAACAACAAAGAGATAGATGCCCAGCACGGCAAAGCCCTTGCCGGTCTTGTTGTCGGTGTTCTGGAACTCGCGCTGCATGACGGCGGCGTAGATCTCGATGACGATAATGGCGGACAGACCGGCCAGGATCATCCTGTGGGAAAAGCGAAACAGCAGGTCAGCATGATGAGCATTGGGCTAGACGGCGGGGAAGGAGAGGGAGAAAAAAGAGGTGACCACGGCGAATGTAGGCTATATACTATAGGACGTACTTTCGACGACCCCATTGGTCGGCTAGGAATCTTGTCGTGAGCACGTTCGAGAGGAAGGCCAGGGTGCCGTAGATGGCAGCGAGGGCGAGGATCATGTGGCTGTTTATGCCCAGGGATTTGAACAAGATGGCTGGTGGGTCACCATTAGCAAAGGTGTTGCATTTCTCGGGGGCCCAACCCTTCGAGTCCAAGGCTCCAAGGTCGGGGCTGGGGCGCGGGCGCAGCAAATGAGAACTCACTTTGGTAATATTGGATGACATTGACGCCCGTGAGGCTGGTCATGGTTTGTACGGCAATCGAGCTGGCAGGGAGCAGTCAGCGGATCGTTTTCTCCTGGGTATAGATCGGCAGCGTCCACCGATGCAGGGGGGAAAGGTAGCCGACATACACCAGGGCCCTGTGTCTGAACAATCTAAAGACCTCGCCGAGACCGTTGATCTCTCTGTGTTGCTCGAACTCGATCTGTCGGCGCATAAGAGTGAACTCTTCCTGAACTTCATGGCTGGACAGGTCCTTCCTGATCCGGAGGAACGCGCGGCGAGCTTCTTCGATCTTCCCCCACCGGATGAGCTGACGGGGCGAATTTGGCATGAACGTGGCAAGGCCGATGAACAGGATTATACCCCAGGGGATCTGGATGCCGAGGGGTAGGCGCCATTGAGTGGCACCATAGGGGGCATAGCTGCATGCGAAGCCGACCCAGTTGGACATCATTGTTCCCAGGGATATCCCGCATCCTGAGATGCCGCCGATAAGACCGCGGACGTTGGGCGCCGAAATCTCCGACAAGTAGATGGGCACTGTTGCGACCATGCCTCTGCCCGGAGTGTCAGCCTCGACATGTGCGAAGGTGGAAAACAGGTCAGGTACTCGACTCACCCGACCGCGAAGCCAGCGAGAACACGACCAGCCAGGAACATGCCGATATTCTGAGAGGCAGTTTGGATGACCGTCCCGATTGTGACGATCACGCACATCATTTGCATGAAGCGAATACGCCCAAGCTTGTCGCCGACGGCAGTCTGCGTCAAAGCTCCCAAGGCCTCGCCGGCAATGTAAGTGGAGACGACCTGGCGAATGTTAGATTTCTTCTGCGGCATCGCTGCTCTTGACGTCTAGCGTACGGCGCCGGTCAGGCCCTTATTAGGCTTGTCCATGTAGTCGATCCAGCTCTGGTGTGCGATAGCTGCGAAGTCGGTGTCAGTCTCTACTGGAAGCCCTTTCTCTTGGCAGAGAACAACTCACTTGTTGTGGCGATGCCCGTATCGAAGCCCTATTGAACCCCAGCGTGAGCGGCCCGAGATCGAAGGTGGAACAGTGACAACTCACGAAGAGAAAGGTGCCGATGGCCGCAAACATCGACACACCCAAAGTATACCATATTGTTCCTGCCATGTTGAACTGCGATGGTGGCTTCGGTCATCCGCCTGGATGGGTTGGCTCGGCAAGGTATTATGGAACAGAAAGAGAATGTCAGACCCGAGGGAACGGTCATGGATAATAATGAAAAGAGAGGTCGAGAAAACGTGGGAATGATCAGCGACCATGCGGTAGAGTGTTCAATTGCCGTCGGCGTTAGAGCCGACGGAATCGTGTCTGCCATGGCCAAGGCATGGTGATACGAGATGAAGTTACTGCTCGGGTGAACATCGAGCGAAGCCGAGGGACGACTGGTACGCTCCGAGAGTCTGAAGTGCGGCGGCCCCAGACGAAAGTGTAGTAGAACAAGAAATCTGGTGCTAAATCAGTCAAAGGCGAGGACAGTGGGAGACGGAAGAGCCTGTCGAGCGGCGGCAAACGCAACGGTGCCGTGACCGAGCTTGGTCCGTCTAGTGCACTCAGCTGCCCACGGCTATTCCTTGAGGCCCTCGGAGGAGAGTGGTGGAAATGTCGAGCATGTCGTCGTGGGAAGCGATGGCACGGGGGGTGATACCTGGAGTTGTGGGGGAGACCAGCAGGCCGTAAAGATGGGAACTTGGGGCTCCGGGTACGTGCCAGGCGACAGGCGAAGCTCCCCAAGCTCCCCAAGCTCCACTGCCAAGTGCCCGTGGCGTTTAATGACGGAAAACACCCGCGCCGTCTCGGTGCAATGACCGACCGGCCGACGGTGGTTGCTTCCTCCGGCTAACGTCTCAAGCCTCGTGGCCTGGACAGGTGCATGCGCAGGACTTACAGTAGTGAGTTCACGGCAAGATGATCCATTGGAAAGTGTCAATGCGATGTAGCGAACAGCCCGCTTGTCGCAGTAGGGACTGGTACGATGCGTCCCGTCAAAGAATCAGCGCAACTGGTGGATGTGACATGCACTCCACATCACGGCCTCGAGTCTGGGGCGTTGAGCACCCAGGTCAGCCTCAGATCTGCGTACTTGTACTTTTTATCTCTCAGTACTTTTCCCATATTCCCGTGTTGAACCCGCTGGACCTTTTGTCTACCCAGATTGTTGAAATCCTCTGGTGACAACAAAATGCTCCCAACAGTCATCCCACACTCATGACTATAACCTACCCTTCCCGCTATATATGTGGATGGCGCCATCATGGCTCACCCCAGATCTCGTCCGCGATCTGCCTGATCAACCTCAGCTTGTTGCTTTGGTCCTCGGCGCTCAGCGGGTAACCGCTCTCATGAGTGCTGAACCCACACTGCGGGGAGAGTTCAATCCTCTTCAAAGCCTCTTCCTTTGTTTGCTGTGATCCTTCCGCGATAAATTCAGCAGCCCTATAGATTCGCTGCTTGACCTGTTCTTTGTCCTCCAGCTGCCTCAGCTTCGTGCTGATGGCACCGATGACGACGTTCTTATTTTTGGGCAGATATTTGAGCGGCTCGAAACCGCCGGCCCGCTCGGTGTCGTATTCCAGGTAGAAAGTATCGACGTTGAGTGTCGTGAAGAGTTTCTGTGCAATAATGTCGTATGCTCCCTCGGCGAAGTGGCGGCCGCCAATGAAGTTACCACGGCAGAGGTGGATGCCCGAGTGCAGGTCCGCGGGTGCATTTGCGAGAGAGTCGTTGTATAACTTGATGTAAGCATCCAGGAGGTCGTCCACGGTGCCGGTGTTGTCCTTGTCCTGGGCCCAACCGTCCCGGAATTGCTTCGAGCAGAAGTACGCCATATTCGGGTCGTCGAATTGGACGTTGCGAAGCCCCGCGTCGTACAAGACCTGCAGCTCCCGCGAGTACGCCGCAGCAACGTCCTTGAAGTAGTCGGCGTCGTTTGCGTACGCCTCGGGTTTGTACGCACTGCCTTGCTTGTATCTCATGTGGAACCACGAGGGGGTGATCATGGTTAACTTGATGTTTCCCCAATCTTCCTTGGGCACAAACTCTTGGACCAGCTTCAGCTCATGGAGGTTGGACTTTGTCCCTTCATGCCTGATCTTGCTGCCGGCAATCACCGAGTCTCCGGGCATCACCTTTCTGTCCTTCTCTATCAAAGAAACCACGTCCGGATGATACAGCCGGAACATACTTGCCTCCGCATCCTGCAGTCTGATGGTGCCGGCCAGCTCATCCCAAAACAGTCCCCAGAAACGGGTCCGGTTGTATTCTCCAGAAGTGACGGCTTTGAAGCCCAAGTCGCGCTGGGTTGTAACAATCTGTCCAATGGATTCCTTCTCTACGGCGGGAAGGCCAGCTTCCTCCTCAGAGATGCCCTTTTCTCGAATGGCTGCTCGGACATCTAGGAGCTTCTGCGGGCGAAGCAGAGATCCCATATGCTCAGCCCGAAAAGGGGGAGCATGGTGCAGCTTCGAGTCGGCCATCTTTGCAGGAACTGTAATTCTGGTTTTTCGGTGCAGGACTTGTCTAAGGGGGAGGGATATTAGTATCAGAACAGAGAAGAAAGGCCACGATGAAATTCTTCGTCGCCAGATGCCCCACCAATGAGCAGAATTTTCCCCGCAATCGAAAATGCATGGCGCCGTCACCACCGTCGTGGCTTTTAGCCGGCTCGCAGGGGATGCCGTGATCCTGCGATATCGGATTCACAGAGCCTGTACCATACTATATATGTACATATATGTAGTGCGTACCGTGTATTAGCATCTCGACCGCCTTGCAGCTTGGTCATCTTTACTGTACACTTCGCTGCTTCTGTTTGTGCAATGGATAACAAAATGAGCATCGCGCGCAACCAGAGGCCGAGAAGTAAGTATGTACAGATCGTACGGTGCTCTGTACTAGACACCATGACGTCTGATCCATCGGTCTGGGATTGTCTACGGAGTACTCGAACAACAACGGGCGCGATTAGAAATCAGCATCAAAGCATAGACGCCCTTGACTATCACTGTACGAGTGGTCCCAAGCTCATCCTCGGGCAGCGTGTCGCCCATCAGGTAGAATTTGACATGCGGACCACACAGGAGGAAAGCTGGCTCGACCGTTGAGCGACATCTGCGGTGATACAGTACATAGTAGCCGTCCTCATCCTGCTGGTCGCTGCGACACCATCCGAAGATGAACAACAGCCCAGGTGTCGTCAATGTGATTCGAAAATCTTAGAATTGCCTCTCAGCGCGCGATGCCTCTCTTCAGAGACGTACCTCAAATCTGACTACATAGTACATTACCACTTCCTAGGTCTGACACCACAATTAAACTGCTCAACAACCATCCGCTGCTCCGTATCATCACCACACCTGACACTTAAATCCCCACTATCAGGCGGGTAGCAATAAGAGTTGAACACCCATCCATCACCCCCCGGTCTCTCCTGGAGTTGGAAATCCGTCTCTCCACATTTGGAAAGACGGTACGTCGATGACCCGAGGGTGAAGGTGTGGCCGCAATATGAAGTGGTTGTGGGGGATATGATGGTGCCGGGACATGGCTGAGAACCACTTGTCCAAGCGTAGTTGTTTATCGCGTCATGGCCTAGGAAGATGGTGATCGCGAGAGATTGAGACGCAAGCAGAATTGCGGCGGCAGAAATGGTGGTGACAACGTGAACCATCATGGCTAGGAACCTTCGATCCAGAGATATGGTATGCAGGAATCAATCACCCACGGATAGGACTGGCTTGATACCGTATGTTCCTGGCGGTTGCTGCTGAGGATTTGATGAGGCGAGAATCACGAGTACTACATATATATACATGGTATACAGTTCTATGTCTACTGTATGTACTACTGTACATACATACTTAGTAAGGACATGCCTGTAACCATCGTATCAATTCAAGTTGCTCAACGGCTGGTAAAGGCCGTTGATCTGACTGCTGCATCTCGTATCGCATCGCATCAGCTCACGCAGAACACCTCAGCTGAGTGTGATGATGACATACATTATGTACATACATAATCGAATCGCCCGAGGCACTGCAGTGCTCGCCGCCTTAACATCCCTCCACCGGAGGAGGGAATTTCGAGACAACCTCGTCAGTTTGTGGATGCGTAAGCCTGATCACCGAGTAAAAGGGATTTTACGTAGGGTAAGTACTGTAGTAAATATTAGTCTAAGTACATACTACTAGTATATAAGTACATGTAGTTAGTTCTATATACTATATAGATAAGTCCTATGTAGTAAGAAGCAGTCGCCACCGTATACTAGAGAGATTACAAGTACTACTCCGTACTATATAAGTATAAAGTAGTGCTGCGGAAGGTAGGAGATGTTATGTGACGCTAAGAACACACGCGCCAAGACACTACTTAAGCTTAAGTAACGAAGCTACCTGTCCTAGCCTAATTAGACGAAATTCGTAGTCCCCTACTATTTACATAAATTAAAAATAATGATAATTATATAGAAAGGTTCTTTGCCCATCCTCCCTACCTAGGTAACGTGTACTATATAGCTCTCCCTAAGGGGGGCTAGCTCGGTCTGAGAGTGGGCTGGGAGTGAGCTGAGCTCGAGCTGAGATTAGGCTTAGACTGAGCTGGGACCGGTTTAGAGTAGGCTGGGATCGGTTTAGAGTGGGCTACGAGTGAGCTGGGACCGGGCTAAGTCCGAGCTGAGATTAGGCTGAGACTAAGCTACTTTACTGTATATATAAGTATATACTAAGTAGTGTTACTGGTATAAGCCCTAGTACTGCCGCATCCTTACTAAGTAAAGTACTTTACTACTGTAGTTACTATATATCCTTACTTCACTACTATATCCCTACTTTACCCTACTGTTACTGCTATCTTTATAATCTATCAAGTAAAGTACTTTATTAAATACTATTACTTCTCTAATAGTTTCTTTGATACTTCTCTGATGCTTCTCTAATACTTCTCTGATGCTTCTCTAATACTTCTCTGATGCTTCTCTAATACTTCTCTGATGCTTCTCTAATACTTC